TACTAAGATTGTGTTTATCTCTTTCGTTTGATTGGCAAATTTATCAGGTTTAAAGTTCAGATTTTTTTTTGTATTCTACCTTGTTTGTTGTCTGAATCTTGTTTTTATTGTTAGATCGATTAAGTTATTTTTTTTAGTCAAACTTTCAGTGATTCACTTTCTTGCATAACCTTATACCCACTCTATAATTTTGTTTTGCAAGTTTTGCTGAGTGAAATAATGGGACTTTGAAGCTTATCATTTGCTCTTATCATCATAAGACAGGTTAGTACCATCTTCTCTTACATGAGTTTGATTGTTTACCATGTTTTTTTGATTATAATACATTACTGTGAATGTCTTGTTGTGTATGCTACTATATATGAGGACAGGTTAGTACCGTATTTCTTGTTTCTAGCATATGAGTTTGATTGATTACAGTGTTTCTTGTTTTCAGTTTTATTTGTTTTAAATATGCTACTAAAGTTGAGTTACTGCACTTATCTTGTCTGATATTAAATTATTGAGATTTAAAACACTTAATCTAGTACATTACTGTTGATGTCTTGTTGGTTATGTTACTATATATGAGGACAGGTTAGTACCATGTTTCTAGTTTCTTTTATATGGTTTTTGATTGATAACCATGCTTTTTGTTTTAAGTTTAATTTGTCTTAAATATGCTACTATAACTGAGTTAGTGTACTTATATAATCTGATATTGAACTATTGAGATTGCTTTGATTGAATATTATATATGTATGAGTTATTTGTTTACTGGTCTGAATATATTTTGAGTTAATTGCTTATGGTATTAAAGGTTTATATTACGGTATCAACATATAATGTTGGACAAGGATTGGGTGCATCTTGGCAGGTAAGGACTTTAATTATATAGGTTAGGTTTCAGTAGGGGTTTCAGAGACTTTACTTCTTCTTTTTTTCCCCTTTTATTCTGCAATGAAGAGCTGATCCTGCTTATGAGAGAGGGGCTACAAAGTTTGTACGGGCTGTGGCTGCAGCTTTGGGAGACGTCGATATGATTATATGTCCTTGCATTGATTGTCGTAATATAGATCGTCACCTAGGTAGTGTAGTTGTTGATCATCTTGTAACAAGGGGAATGGATGAAGCTTATAAGATGCGGTGTGACTGGTATCATCATGGAGAATTGAATGCAGTGGCTGAAAGTGAAAGCAAACTAAGTCACTGGAATGACGAGGTATTTGAGTTATATCAAGCTGCTGAGTATTTGGATGAAGAGTTTGCAGAAAAGCTTGACTTGGCTGAGATTGCAGAGGGTGATGACAAGAAAGAAGATGAGTTTCTTGCAAAGCTTGTAGATGCTGAAACTCCTTTATATCCAAGTTGTGTGAACCATAGCAAGCTGTCAGCTATTGTGTCTTTGTTTAGACTTAAGACACAAAATGGATGGTCTGACAAGAGCTTCAATGATCTTCTAGAGACATTGCCGGAGATGTTACCAGAGGGGTGTGTGCTACACACATCATTGTATGAGGTGAAGAAGTTTTTGAAATCTTTTGATATGGGTTATCAAAAGATTCATGCTTGCGTTAATGACTGCTGCCTATTCAGAAAAAAGTACAAAAAGCTTGAGAATTGTCCTAAATGCAATGCTTCAAGATGGAAGACTAACTTGCACACTGGTGAAGTAAAGAAAGGTGTCCCACAGAAAGTATTACGGTACTTTCCGATAATCCCACGCCTTAAGAGAATGTTTAGGTCTGAGGAAATGGCTAAAGATTTAAGGTGGCATTTTAGCAACAAAAGCAGCGATGGAAAACTCCGTCACCCTGTAGATTCAGTAACATGGGATCAGATGAATGCCAAATACCCTTCATTTGCAGCCGAGGAAAGGAACTTGAGGCTTGGACTTTCCACAGATGGATTTAATCCATTCAACATGAAGAATACCAGGTATAGTTGCTGGCCCGTTTTGCTAGTAAACTACAATTTGCCTCCAGACTTATGCATGAAGAAGGAGAACATCATGTTGACATTGTTGATTCCTGGTCCACAACAGCCCGGTAATAGTATTGACGTCTACTTGGAACCACTTATAGAGGATCTATGCCATCTGTGGGATAATGGGGAGTTGACTTATGATGCTTTTAGTAAGTCAACATTTACTCTTAAGGCAATGCTGCTTTGGACAATTAGTGATTTTCCCGCGTATGGGAATCTTGCTGGCTGCAAAGTAAAGGGTAAAATGGGTTGTCCTTTATGTGGAAAAAATACAGATAGCATGTGGTTGAAATTCAGCAGAAAACATGTCTTTATGTGCCATAGAAAGGGTCTGCCCCCAACACATAGTTTTAGAGGGAAGAAGTCATGGTTTGATGGAAAAGCTGAACATGGGAGGAAGAGGAGAATATTAAGTGGCCAGGAGATTTATCAAAACCTGAAAAACTTTAAAAATAGCTTTGGGAACTTGAAACAACATGCAAATAAGAGAAAACGTGTTGAATGTACTAGATCAAGTTCTGATAGTGATGATCTATCTAGTGAGTCAGAGGAGGATGAAGAGGAAGAGGTAACAGTAGATGAGGAGGAGTTATCAAGATGGAAGAAAAGGTCAATCTTTTTCAAGCTATCTTATTGGCAGGTGTGTCCTTTTTTCATGTTATTCTAGTATTGTCTTGGATTTAAACAAGTAAACTTTGTGTAACAGTTTTGTTGTTTTTTGCATTCTGGTTATAGGAACTCCCGGTTAGACATAACTTAGATGTCATGCATGTGGAGAGAAATGTGGCTGCAAGTATTGTATCGACATTGTTGCATTGTGGGAAATCCAAAGATGGTCTAAATGCTCGCAAAGATCTGGAGGAGCTTGGTATTAGAAAGGATTTGCACCCTAAAATCAGAGGAAAAAGAACATATCTTCCCGCAGCACTTTGGTCTCTGTCCAAGACAGAGAAGAAGATTTTCTGTAAGCGGCTATTTGACTTCAAAGGCCCAGATGGGTACTGTTCAAACATATCAAGAGGCGTCTCATTAGATTACTGTAAGGTCACAGGTCTGAAATCACACGATTATCACGTGTTAATGCAACAGCTTCTTCCGATTGCACTTAGAGGGTTGTTACCTAAAGGTCCTAGGGTAGCAATTGTGCGCTTATGCACATTTTTCAATCACTTGTGTCAGCGAGTAATTGATATGGAGCAGCTTTTGGCAATGGAAGCTGAGATTGTTGAAACCCTTTGCTTGTTTGAAAGATTCTTCCCGCCAAGTTTCTTTGATATCATGGTGCACTTGACAGTACATTTAGGCAGAGAAGCTCGGTTAGGTGGACCAGTTCATTTCAGATGGATGTACCCGTTTGAAAGGTATATGAAAGTTCTGAAGGATTTTGTGAGGAACACTGCAAGACCTGAAGGGTGTATTGCTGAGTGTTATCTAGCTGAAGAATGCATCCAGTTTTGTAGTGAATTTTTGAAGAAGACAACCAATGTTAAGGAAAGTGTAGATAGAAACACTGAGTATGAAAACAACACTATACTTGAGGGGCGTCCAATCTCTGCAGGCATCTCACTTAATCTTACTGAAATGGAGAAAAAAATAGCTCACATGGCTGTCATCCAGAATATGGCTGTCGTGGAGCCTTATGTAGAGTAAGTTCCACATTTTGCTAGTTCATTCATTAATTATATTTAGGATAAATGTCTGATTATTTCTTTTTCACTTTTTCTTTTAACAGTGAGCACCTACAGCATCTACAAGACTCCAATGGAAGATGCAGACGTGATGCATCACTGTTATGGAGTATGCACACTCAGAATTTTGCCTCTTGGCTTAAAGAACAGGCTAGTTATCTCTTACATAAACACCTAATGTAATTCAGTTTATGTATATAGGTGTCTGACCTTTTCTATTTACTTTTGTTAGATACATCTTGATTCAAACAGACATGGAGAAACACTGAAATGGTTGGCATATGGTCCACGTAGCTGCGCTAGGTCATATACTGGTTACATAGTGAATGGGCAACAATTTCACACAAGATCAGTTGATAAGAAAACTCAGAATAGTGGTATTTACTATGAGGCCACTGCAGTCTGTAGGTCTAGTGCGAAGGACACCTCACAAGTGGTTGATTTGGTATCATATTATGGTTGCATAACTGACATTATCTTGTTAGACTATAATGTGTTTTATGTTCCTTTGTTCCGCTGCAACTGGGCAGTAAAGGGCAATGGAGTGAAGGAAGAGGATGGTTTTACACTTGTAAATCTGAATCATAGTCAAGTCTCCTTTTTAAGGGATCCATACATACTAGCCTCTCAAGCAAAGCAAGTGTTTTACCTAAGGGAAGATGACTCATCAACTTGGTATGTTGCAATGAGAGGTCCTTCGAGAAGATTCAGTCAGAAAGAGTTTCAAGATGCAGTTGCAGACATTGGGCCATTGCCAACAAGTGTTGACATTGATGTTGACTTGGATGAGGCTGAAAATGAGAGATCTGATTGTGAAGGGATATATGTGTGAAATGTCTGATTTTTTACCTTAGCTCAAGTCTGATGTCTGCTTTTTTTTTTTAATTGTTTTTCCATTGTGTGTTTGATAGTTATTATGTTTGTTTTGCTTTGATGTCTGCTTTTAGTTCTCTTTAATCTACTAACTCTTTCTTCTTTCATTTTTATTAGGTGATTTAAAATGGCTGGGCGCAAGAAAAAGCGAGGAAGAAACACTAAAAAAAAGGATGAGGAGGTAGAGTATGTGGGTACAATGGAACCACAACAAGAAGAACCAGCTGAAGTTCAAGCTGAAGATCCAGATCATTTGGAACCACAACATGAAGAACCAGCTGAGGTTCAAGTAGAAGTCCAAATGGGTGATAAAGAACCACAACATGAAGAACCAGCTGAGGTTCAAGTAGAAGTCCAAATGGGTGATAAAGAACCTGATGTGGAAGAGCCAGAAGGAGAGATAGAATTTTCTGAGGGTCATGAGGTTGCTATTGAACCTAAGAGTAAGAGACAGCGAGGACCACAATATCATGGGAGAGCCTATTGGTAAAGGGTCAGTTAAGCTGTCATCATATGTTGGTGCATTGGTCCGAGAACATGTTCCTATCACAATTGATCGTTGGACAAAAATAGGTGAAGAAATCAAGACACTTCTCTGGAAATCTGTCCAGGTATCATTTCTCTAATTTTTCTTGTATTGCATTACGTTTTTTCAGATATTGTAATTAAATTTACTGTTTTTTTCTATTGAATGCAGGCTAGGTTTGAACTAGATGAAGAGTACCAAAAGGTTGCAGTGCTTAAGCAGATGGGATGTTTGTGGAGGTCCTGGAAATCAAAGCAAGTTACAAACATCAGAGAAGCTAAGACTAACCAGCAGAGGATGAATCTGCGACTTAAAAATGTTTCTCCAACCGATTGGCGTAAATTTGTGAAGCTCAAAACTAGCCAAGAATTTAAGGTATGCATCTGGAATCAGGATAATTAAGTTTATGTACTATATAGTATATTACAAGTTAACATTCATCTGTTAGGTTGTAAGCGATAGCTACAAGGAAAGAAGGCGCAAACAAATTCCTCACACTTGTAGTCGCAAGGGAATGGTTAGACTAGCAGAAGATATGGTAATCACATGACAGTTATGTTGTTTATATTGCTCAGCTTCTTTTTAAAACACTTATTAATATGTAATGATTTTTGTTTGGTTTAGAAAACTGGTAGTGCAGACCCATCTGAAGTGACAAGGCTAAAGGTTTGGGTTAAATCACGTACCAAGAAAGATGGTACACCAGTGAACACTAATGCTGCTGAAAAGATTGTGAGTTTAAAATTTTGCTTCTAATGATGTGCATATTGGCATTTGATTCTTAATCTGCTATTGAATCTGTATCTTATGAGTTGCAGAAAAAGGCAAATGAGATTGTTAACAGTGATGATCCATCGACTGCAACAAATGAAGCACAACAAGATTCACTTAGCCAACTGTTAGGGCCTGACAATCCTGGTAGAATGAGGGCAATGGGTAGAAATATGAATAAGACCAAGTTAGCTTGTTTCCAAGTGAAGCACAAGTGTATGGCTCAAATGCAAGAGAATCAGATTCAGCTCCAGCAGAAGGTCACTGAGTTAGAAGATGTAATTCTGAAAATGAAGAATCAGGTTAGAAACTTATCTATTTATACATTGTGAAGCTTATCTATTTATACATAAAGAAGCTCAAATAGTTCATAGTATTTGACTTTGTTTTTTATGTAACAGAGACAATCACCTGAGGTTGGTGAAAACTCAGCTGCAAGAGTAAGTGACTTATATCAAATGTTTTTGATTTCTTTGTTACTTTATAATCTAATATATTTTTCTTCTAATTACTTTTATAGAGTGTGAATAAAAGATCACAACCAAAGTGTGTCTTGATTGATTGGGCTGGTTCTGAGGAAAAAGTTGCTGAGGGGCTTATTATGTCTTCTGATCCTGATGAATTAGTTAATGAAAGTCGCTTAGGCCCTACGGATGTTAAAGTCTTGATTGTCACTGCTATTGTACCAGAAGCATTCCTTTGGAGACCTGCGATTAACATGTGCACCATTGAGAAAGCTGTTGGACATATGGTGGCCTGGCCATCTAGTTTGTGTGTTAATCTAGAAGAGGAGCTCCAACCAGAAGACATTGCAACCCTGGTAAACTTTATCACTCATTCTCATACTCATACATAGAAAGTATATGTTAACACTGGTTGAATGTGTTTGACAGGGATCAAGACCTAATTCTGTGAACAAGTGCAAGCTACTGGATTTGTCTTCATATGATGTTGTTGTTGCAGAAGGACGTTGGCAGACACAAGATGCCAATGCATTAGTTAATGGGCTTCCTCTCGGACCAGCAGCAGTGAAAATATTTGTGGATGCAGTGATTCAACCTGAGACATTTATATGGAGGCCAACGATTGATGTCATGTACCTTGAGGACTGTTTACAGTCTTCTGTAGCTTGGCCTGCCAACAAAGTTGTCTTTGAAAACCATGCAGATGCAACATGTCAGAAGTCTCCACTTCATCAGGCTTCTGCATCAACTCATCAAACAACAACAGAAAAGGCAGCAGCATCAGGAGGAACAGCACCATCATCAGGTCCACTAAATGCAGCAGCTGGTTATAAGTCTTCTGTTGAGATATCAAAATCCGCAGCCACAACAAAAGGAACGAAATCCGCAGCCACAGTTTCAAAATCTCTTGTTGAGAAGTCTCCAGCAACATGTTCAAAGCCTCCTGTAAAGAAAAGTCAGTTAGCTTCACCCTCCCCTCTACGAAGATCTCCGGTAAATTTAGCAGATGTTGTTACTTACTGATTCTGGTTATTATTATACATGAATTAAACCTGTTTATATTGTAATATGGCAGCGTAAAACTGGAGCTGAAGTTATCAAGGCTAATCAGAAGTGCAAGTTAATGGATATTAGTGGAAAGAGGCGGGTGGTTGGTGAAGGACGTGTGCATTCAATCGACCCAGACCAAAAGGTACACCATGTTCGCTTGGGGGCAAATGCAGCTAGAGTTTGGGTAGATGTAGTGAAGATAGATGATGCAGCAGTTTGGAGGCCATCAGATGAAATCGAGTATATGAGAGATTCACTTGGTTCATCTATTGCATGGCCAATGGATAAGTTGGTCATCTATTGAGTAGATGAAGAAACTGGGGTAAGTTTTGTAATTACTGTGATGCTTGTGTTTTGCTTTTATATCTGCTACTGATATGAGACTTTGTTGATTGTTGCAGGGAATGAAGAAACTTTGGTCCAGATTAGGTAGTTTTAATTAGTTTAAGACTAGACTAATCAGCTTCTGTTATGTACTTTGGAATCAGACTTGTTATGTCTTTTGGATTTAGACTTGTTATGTTGAATGATTCTGTATAACTTTCTAACTTTTGAATTGGAATCAGACTTATGTTACAATTTATATTCAGACTTATGTTTTCATGTTTATATTATGCAAAACAGGTATAGAATCAAAATATATAGCTCTCTGAAAATATATATAATAGCAAAATTAAAAGCCATAATTAAATTAAGTATAGCAATTCTTCACTGTCATTGTAGAAAATCAGATATTATAGCACAAAACATGAAGCTACGAAAACAAATTAAACAGCAAGAACAAATTGCTAACGTAGAAGAACCTATTATAGCACAAAATTTGAATTGTCGTTACTTTTTAACAAAAATTTCATCTGCTATATCAAAATAAATAACAGCAGTTAAATAAAGCTATTGTATCTAAAACTATCATAGCATATCAAAATAATGCTATCGTAGGGGAAACACCTACCATAGCTGCCGATGTCACAGCATTTGTGATTTCGCTATCAATAACGTAAGATAGCAGATGGTTTGCGCTATCAATGAACGTTTTTCTTGTAGTGACACAATAAACACAGTAGGGATTAGAAAATGGCTTACGTAATCTAATAAGATAGGTTTAACAAGTGATTAATTAATGTCGGAAGGGTAAGCGTGAGTGGATCACTACCTTAATTTGATTGCTTAAATACTATAGTGGCAAAAAAATACTTTTATGTTAAAATGATTTTGAATTAGATCAAATACCAATAGAATGAAACCAATAGCATAAAAGCATGTTTTTTTATCAACCATTATTTATTGAGATAGGATTACAAATCTTGAATATAAAATGACTAATATAGATAATGAAAGATTGAATTTGAAAGAAATAAATATGTGGAAGTGTTATAAAGTGGGGGAAAGTGGAGACATTGGGTCATGCATAAAAATATCAAATTGTTCCATACACACTTCTTCTTTAAGCTCTTTAAATGATAGTAATATAGTTGAAGCTAAAATAGGTGAAGCATCACACTTTAATTTGTAGTGCAGTCAGAATTTCTTGCTACAGGAATTATCCAATGAATCTCCACGACGACTCATTGATTTTATGGCACAATCTTTTACGATTCTTTTCATCGGAAAAATTTATAAGAATATATTCTCATAGGTATATTTTACGTTAATTTCTTACATCATATCAATTATTTAGATTGTAAGTTATAAAATTTTAGCTTTACTCAAAATATTACTTGTATATACAGTCAGGGTCGGCCCATGGGTAAAGCCCATGAAGCAAGGGCTTTAGGCATCAAATAATTATAAGTAGTTTTAGGGGTATCAATTTTTAAAATGTTACTGTGGTCTAGTGGTTAGATTGAAGTCTTTTGTTGTTAATGGGCCAAATTTTTTTTTGCTTTAGGCACTCAAATAGTTTGGGCCGGCCCTGTATACAGTACATACATATATATATATATATATATATATATATATATATATATATATATTCTAGGAGAGATGTCAATTTTCATAAAGTTGAAATTAATTTGTTTTCGTTGTCTAATGTATAGGGTCTATAGTATAGATAAACTATATGTTGTGAATTTGTGATCCTATATAATTGTTGATGCAACAAAGAAAAAAAAGGGAACACATCAAATGTTCTAAATGGCTGGAATCTAATCACTTAGTGAGGAATTAACATTAATTAAAAGACTTCTAAAGTCAATGCAAGTGCGCCAATCTTTTAGCAGCTGAAATAACATTGCCCCATCATATCTTTAGAATTAACTTTGGACAAAAAAAAACAAAATCTTTAGAATTAACTTTCAAATACTTCAGATAAGTATATCTTTTTGCTGTTGTGGACTGACAATCTTAAGAAGTTTTTTTTCTTTTCTGATATCAACTATAAAGCAAAAACTGAGGCACTAATTTTAACAAAGTCTAGTTTTATTTATTAAATCAATCATTATTTCAAAAAAAAACAAACAAAAAAAAAGATTTATTTTGATTTATTAAACGTAGAAAATGAAAGCCACGTACATCGTTAAGGAAATAAGGTCGAAATCAAAAGTGCAAGACAGGGAAAATATAATTGTCTCAAAAAAGAAATGTGTTTTTTTTTAACTCCTACTAAAAGAGTGTAATCTATACTAATTCTACGCAATCAAAAGATGGTATTGATCATCCTAAATTCGACATATTTGTACATTTTTTCTTCATTTAGATGATAAATGTGGAATGAACAATTAAAGTTGACAAAAAGAAAAAAGATCAATTAAAGAGATAGAAATAAACATTTAAGAAATGGTTAAGTTGTGTCTCGGAGAATTGGTATTTGGTGTGTATTGGCCACGAGGGGTCACTAGAAAATGTTTGGACCCACTCATTACAAATTTCATGACTCAATTATCAAATTAGCCACTAAACTCCAATTCAGAGGCGTCGAAATACATTAGTATAGTTTGTTTATATATCTATGAATGTATGTGTCTGAAAGTGAAGGAAATATATATATATATATATATATATATATATATATATAGTAAAACACAAAGCATCTACATAATGTATATATATATATATATATAGTAAATAAAACACAAAGCATCTACATAAATATTTTCCTTATATTCGCTAATATTTGTAAGATCTTTAACAAAGAATAATAGATTTGACATATGTTGTATCACTCACATTCGATAAGAATCTAAGTGTCATTGATGGTCTTACATATTGTAAAAATTCTTGTAATAAGCCAACGACTCTTTCTATAGATATCTACATTATTACTATCTTCATCCTCCGGTAAATTTTATATCTCAAAACAAGAGAATTTGATTACATTAATTTAATTACCGTATAAGGAAAAAGGAAAATTGACACAAGATGATTCATAAAATTTACCGTATAATGAAAATTCGAAAATTTTATATCCAAAGAAATGGACATTAATTTTTATTAGTTTAATCACTCATTTTTCTGTTTCCACATACACTAATATTTTTTTTTTTTTGGACAAACCACATACACTAATATTACATCCGAAATCTAGAGTATTGCATGCATACATATAAGTAGGATGACCAAAACAAAAGACATTTAAATATATTATAAATTATTTAATAGAAAGTCAAAATAAGAAAAATGTATTTAAGAAAAGTTTACCATTCAAGATTTTTTTTTTTGTTTATCATTCAAGCTTAATAGTAAGTTTAATTAATAAGAAAAGTTAGAGATAGATTATGATTCGATTAAACTACAAATAATATCAGAAAATTGCAGTGAAATTCTAAATTTTTGCGTTCTAACAAGCTATATGATGATGTCAAATTCGAATTACTACTGTTATTGATAAAGAAATTTAGTACGCACAAAAAATGTTTACGCTGTCGTTGTTTGATGATACAATTAGACAAATCATAGTTCAAAAAGCTAGGAAAAAAGACTTTAACATATCGATGTTGCAATCCAAATTTCTGTTCATGAATAAGATAGATGCATGCAATTTAGACAAAACAAAGCATATATATTGTATAAAAAGGGTTCACGTGTATAAATCTAGATTACAAAATTAAGCCTCAATAACTCAAGTTAACTACAGTATTATATTAAACCAAAAAAACAAGTTAACTATTATTGGATTTAAATTATAAAAGAAGACAAAAATTTTAAAAAATCTTCTCGCAGTTTCTGCTCCCCACTTCCAGTAAACAAATTAGAGCAACCTAACAATATTTTTTTTATGACTAAACTCAGTCTATTTATTTGTTCTTGTTCCAAACAATGGATGTTAACTAATGCTATATTTAAGTCTGGAGCGTATTATCTAAGCAACTCATAAGAGAATACAAAAATTTCAGAATTTTGAGCTCTAGAAATAGTGAGAATGACTAAATTAACTTGTTATGGTCTACATATTCTAAACCCGCCGGGACTTCTTTGTCAATAGAATAAATAATTTTTTCAGTTGAAATCATAATATATATATTGTTAACCAAAAGAACAACCAAAATCCAAATCAAATGGATATTTCTTTTCATAAAAAGAAGTAATTAAATTGTGAATTACGTCAAAATTTCGGATTAAATTCAAATTATCTATGATTATGATCTTTTCACTCTTCCACCACTATAAATTATTATAGTTTCTTTTTTCCTTTTCTTAAAATATGCTCTAAATAAACATATTATAATCCATAGGACCCACTTCTACATGATTCTCCTACATTATAAAACCCTTCTCCCACTTCCTCCTCCTAATGGCTTCAAACTAACTTCCCAAGTCTTCACACAAAATCAAATCATACAAACTCTTACATACTCTTATAAACCAAACTAAAACCATGATTTCGGCGGAAATCACCGGATATTTCCAATATCTACCACCGGAATACCACATAATAAACATGCCTTCATCTCCAACCTCTTCCTTAAACTACCTAAACGATTTGATCATCAACAACAACTATTCCTCATCATCCAACAGTCAAGATCTCATGATGAGCAACAACTCAACTTCCGACGAAGATCATCATCAAAGCATCGTAATACTCGACGAGAGGAAACAAAGAAGGATGCTTTCAAACAGAGAATCTGCAAGGAGGTCGAGGATGAGGAAACAGAGACATCTTGACGAACTTCAGGCTCAGGTAATAAGGCTTCGTAACGAGAACAACTGTCTTATCGATAAGCTGAACCAAGTATCTGAGACTCAAGATAGTGTATTGAAGGAGAACTCTAAACTCAAAGAAGAAGCTTCTGATCTCCGACAGCTTGTTTGTGAACTGAAATCTAACAAGAACAACAACAATAGTTTTCCAAGAGAGTTTGAAGATAATTAGTATTTCATCGGAGGGGCAGAGATTTTGAGTTTGTGTCATTACTTCTCTGTATCAACAGGAAAAAAATCGAGGGATTTTGGGTTTTGGTTGTTTCTCGAATATTTGGTAACGATGATATATTTTTATTATATACATAATATATATATTGAAGCTAAATAATCTTAGCTTTTTTAAAAGTTAAATGATCTAGCTAGTTCTTCGGCATATTCATGTTCTCTAATTATATAAATAACCATAATCCTAAACATACAAGTATAATGATGAGGACCGTCTCAAATTATGAAATTATATACATACTTCTCGTTCAATTTTCTTTTTAACGTAGAAAATTTATTTATTTTCTTTTTTTCGTAGAAAATATTTTAATAAAACAATCGTGATTTCTAGACAGAAAGAAAAGAATTATGAAAGACAAAAATATTGATCTTAATTTGTAATATAGTAGTTCGCATTATAGTATTACCATCATCGTTTTACTTTTTTTGAGTTGTATAACCGATAATATATTAAGAAAATAGATTAAAAAGTATCATATGTAAATTTATAATTATGACGACCTCTATTAACAAATTTTGATATGTTCTGTTCGCCGCATAAATACACTTGCATTGTGCATCATTTGAAACATTATGGATCCGAATGGTAACAGCGTATTTGGTTTTGCGGGAAAAGCGGTTTTGTAGTACGGTACGGTTTAACTGCGGTATTTGTGAGAGAAATATATTTGCGGGACAAGTGCGGTTTGTACAAAATAAGCGGTATGAAATAATGTTTGATTGGTGAAAATAACTAATTGCGGTTTTGTAGTGATGAAGAAATATTTCATATATTTATAAAGTTTATATACCCAAATTAATCTAAAATAAAAGATTATTTTTCTTACATAAATATTGCAAAATCATTTAAAAAATTAAATCATAAAAAAGTACAATACAATAAAAAACTATTATTAATCTGAACCTAACTGTTTTGACACATCTTCGTTGTTCCGTAAAATACCAGTCATAGTTTCTAACAGTTGTAGCTTATCATCATCGTTGCTTTCAGCTATGTCAATGAAATACTTACGCTAAAGTACTTGCTCTTTGAGTGTACTGATGCATGTCTAATAAAATCTAGTATGTTTAGAAAGGTTTAGCGCAATGAATATCGCTTCCGCCTTTTTAAATTCATCATAATCATCTTGAACTTGTACAATTGTTTTCGTAGAAGGAGTTAAAATTTCGGTGGAATGAGCTGAAGGATTTGTGTCTCGTTGACGATTGGACGCCATATCTATATTTAATAAAATCCAACAATTATTCATAAACTAATATGATAAACTATATAGTATTTTATTTTTATTTTTAATAATAGAAATTTTAAAGCGTATTGAATTACTTACAAAAATATATTAATTATTATAAAACTAATCTGATTAGCTATTAACTATTTGTTTTTATAGAAATAGAATCTTTAAAGTATATATATATACATAATTACACATTTAAATTCAAAGCTTTTTGATGTAATAATAATATGTTAACTAAAAAAAAAAAATTACCTTCAAATGATAATTGCTACTTGAAGGAAAAAGAGAAAAACAACTTCTATTTTCTAAAGTGGCATCAAAGAGAAATTGTGTGTTGTGTTTGAAATTTTTTGGACCTAGTCTTTACTTTTATATACAGAATTATTATTTTAAAATTAATATCTATTACCCAGTAGATGCGGATTTATTGGACCGCTGGTTATTACCCATACTGCAAATTGGAGTGCGTTTTCTTATCTGATAGGTAATATTTGTACTGTCTTGAATAACGCAAACATATATTTTTTTTTTTAACAGAAAAAACGCTTATTGAGTATAAAAGTTGTGATTGGTGTTTTGTTTGTGGTTTTGTAAATTTTTCTTGAAATCCGCATTTTGAGTAGTTACCAATCAAGACCTATGGCAAACAAGAAAGTAAACCAAAGATTGCTAAAAATGGTGGCCCTTCTTCTTCTTTTTCTTTAAAGTTTAATCAAATACTTAATCATTTTTGTCCAAAAAAAAAAAAAAAAAACTTAACCATGATTATTTATTTTCATATAGCTTTTATCCACTTTTGTTTCTTAAAATCTTTTGTATCCATTTAAAGCATCACTTTGAGTGTGACAAACCCACCAAGAATGTTTTCTTGAATTTCACTTGGCGCATTACAAGTATGTAAAATTTGAGCACTAAATCTCTATTAAGATATTAATCTTTTTTTTCTTGGGAATATTTTTCTAGTAACTTTTGGCCTACTTTAACACAGATGGGTAATAATTGTCTTTGTTTATAACTGCATCTATTTTCAACAACAAGTTTAACAATATTTATCCTATTACATTAATGCTAGTACTGACCAATATTAACCACATAAAAAGATATCATCCTCGGATTTGGTCGAATTATCTCTACAGAACATTATTATAAAAATATATATATACACGAATAGTATTTAAGAATTGGTTTTGGACCTAGACACAGTACTACGTACAGTAGACACCATGATCCTTCTATTCAAAACGTCAGTCAATATTAAAAATGATTCCAAAGAAGTATTTGTGTTATGCAAAAACTGAATCCTTGAAAGATATATATACCCCAATGACTTTTTTTATTTGCTACGAACGAACTTTCTTTTGTAAAAGATTACGAACGAATTTTGATAACCCATTACTTTGTTTAATTCATGATTTATTCCAATTTGTAGATATTGGGAATTTCTCAATTTAAAAGATTATTCATACTTTATATAAAAAAAAAATTGTTGATGAGTCAAATCTGAAATGCAAAAAGAACAAATTTACAAAAGGGAACACAAGAAGACAAAGAATGGTGGAGGCTCTGGTGATAGTGCTTCTGTCAACAATATCAAAGCATAGAACGTTTTCGAGGCTACTAATGAAAAACTTAAAAGTGTAATATAATCGTTCTGAGAGCTTTCTATAATTTGTGGAGTGACGAATTAATAAAATGATGGTGTGAGATTATACAATTTTATCAATCATATAAGAATTTCAATATAAACCGAAGACCAACTCATGGTCAATAATAGTTTGTCCAAACCCGAAGTATAGCTTACAACAATTTTTCTTTTAAAAATTGTGGAATCAACATTTTTACAAAGAAGGAAATGATTCAAATCTATCTCTACATGAAAGAGAAAAATTGTGGAGATATCTCTCCATAGCTAAAGAAAGTAATGAAAATGATCTCTTCTTAACGGAAGAAGTCAGAGGGAGTACTCTCTTTAGTCTCTTTTATGGAGGATATTAGACTAGAAACATGAATATTGCAAAACAATATATGAAAGTAATAGTATCAACAATTAAGGGCCTAAAGGGATTTTGATGGGCCATTTGAGGCCCATTAGATTGAGACAATGGGCCAGGCCTGCTTTATCATTACGCTGGAAACAATATCCGGCGGAACTAAGTGCCCCAAAGAGAGGAATCCAAGCAGAACAAGGACTTGATATCACCAAAGAGAAGGCATACGCGGTGATGGCAGAAGCTTCCTTATTGTGAGTGAAAATGAGCTTCATCACCTTGGCGTTTTAGGGATGACGAATAGACTCCCCCTTGAAGTAAAACTTTAGCTTTATTTTTTGGTATAGTTCACTATCCTAACAATTTCTTAACTTCGCTCCAATTTTCTCTAGATTACTAATGATGACTATGTTAATCTAAAACATATTATCTTCTCGCCATAAAAAAAAATATAGTTTTGACAAGTCACAAGTGGGGAGTTCCAAGAATAACATATTTGTATTCAAATTTTAAATAATCCAAAACTTTTAAAAAATAATGGGATTAAATAATTTGTGCGTTTGTAAAAATAAATCATGTACCATAATTCATAAAAAATTTCGGAAAAATGTTATACAAAAACATGAACTCTAAAATTTAGGACGTTTCACTCCCCAATTTTTAAAATATCGATTAAATCGTTAAGTTTTTTTTTTGATTTTATAAATAAATGATAAATTTTGTTGATTTGGCCATTAGAGGCATGTCGTCCCAAATTTAAAAGTTCATGCTATTTTGATATTTTTTCTATAACTAAAGACCAATGTTCAACCTCTCTATAACCGAAAACCAATGTTCAAAGGCGAAAAACGGCCTAATGTCGTAAACAAACAGAAGTTCTAACAAGCAGTTAATGCCGTAAACGGATATGACTATCTACTTAACGACATGCCTAAAATGGCCAAGTCAACAAAAATTCGTCATTTATTTATGAAGTCAATAAGGGTGTTATTGGGTTATTGATTTGTAAATCCATATAGGATTTGAAAATCTTTATTAATTATGAAATCAAGACATATGAATTTTGAAATAACATGTGATTACCTATGAATTGGAATCTTTCTATTTTTCTTTTTCAAATCCATTCGATCAAATCCATTTAAAACATAATTTGGATTTTGAAAACCCTGAACAAATGACTAAACGAATAACATGATTTTAACTAGTATTTATAAATCATAGAACCAATAACACATGATTTTAATTATGATTTTAAAATTAATGATTGAATAACAAATGATTTTTGTTTGGATTTCCAAATCCTTATAATTCCATAAACCAATAACCGCTCCTAATCGATATTTTTAAAGTTGGGATTAAAACGTCCCAAATTTGAATGTTCATACTTTTTTGATATTTTCACAATGTTTTTCATAGTGGACTAGGTGAAAAACAACAAAAGTACATAAAAAATAAAATCGTTTGGTAACACTTCTCTAAGGTTCCTTTGGGATTTGATTTTGAATTCAAGATGATGAAGTAATTTTGTTTGTTTTTCTCTTGAGAATGTGTGACATTATTTCTTCTTTGAATCTACCTATATATCTTTCATGACGTTTATCAATAAAGATTTCTCTAATAGCACTAGATATCAACATAAATCTGATGTTCTGTTTATGATAAAACCATGAAAAAACTAACGGTAACGTCAAAAGAGTGTCTAGGTAGTCTCAACATATCTACATCATTGTGGTACTCTTAGATAATGTACTAATGTAAAGCATGGATAAAGCACAGTCCTCCTTATGACTCGCTTTGTGAAGACAATGCCATTTTCATAAAGCATTATGCTCTCGAACAATAATGCTCCACTCATGTGGTAAAAGAAAAGATCGAATCAAAGTGAGTAGAGAAGTGAGTAAGAAACAACAAAAGAATTTCAAGAGTATAATAGTTAATAGTTACCAACACATTGGTGATAACTGATAACTCGTTGATCATTGTCATCATTAACTAGAAACCGGTTTGGATTGTTATGAGAATTTTTTTTTAAAATAATAATAAATAAAGTATTTTAGGAAAAGAAAAAAAAATCATAATTGTTTTTAGATTGTTCTGAATTAAATAATATAAAAGTTATGATCGAATAATTTCATGGAAATTTGGAAAAGTAACGCACAAAAATTTATAAATTTAGTAAGTAACCAAAAAAAAAAAATGATATTGTTTGTATAAACTGTAAATCGGACTCTTTACCCTTTTATCTTTCCACATGCATACACAACACAAGTACATGTCTATTTTTATCTCCAGATGCACACAGAACTCAGACAAAAACAAGCATTGCACACGCCTCTCAATTTCACATGCTACTCAGCACCACCTCACAATTTCACCACCACTAAACAACATATTTGCCAGATTATGTCCAATAATCTTCAACCACCACCATTACTAACGCTACCGTTGCTATTGCCGTCACCATCGCCACCGCCGCTGTTGTCGTTACCATCGTCACCACCACCACGCTAGCCCACACTACTCTGTCTTCATGCGTGTCCACAAACCGAAACGAGTGTGAAGGATCACGTCACTCTCTTTTTCACACGCGTGTCATCATGCTTTAACGAGGAGTTACTTGACTTTTCATCCCTCTCTAGTATTATTTACTTAATTTTGCACATTAAGGTGTTATATTCTTAAACCCCGTTCTAAAAATCTCCGTCTACCCTGATTACTCTCCGCCTCGATTAATGACTAATCCCTTAAAAAAATCAGTCACCAGATTATTTTCCGCATAATCCGATTAATTTCCGCCAAATCCGATTATTTTCCGCCTATTCTTACATATTCTGATTATTTTTTGATTGCAAGTATATAAAAACTCTTTATTTTTGTTATTTAAACATTTGAATTGGAAGTTTGTGATGTTTTACAATAATTTATGTTCAAATTTTTAATAAAAGTTATAATTTTTAATAAAAAATCATAAAAGTATACCTTAAAATATATTTTTTTATGTGTTTACTACAATTTTGAAAACAATACTAGATTAATATATTTTTAAAATATTAAAATAACCTTAAAACTAATCCCTGATTTTAATCCGATTTTTCGATTAATCGCTAAGCCCATACCGAACGTCCGACTAGCGCCTAACGATTTTTCGAACAAGGTTCTTAAATAGTTTATCAAAAATGGTTGTTTGTGCAAATCACCCTAATTTCATTCCTTCCGAGAAAATAATTGAAAGGCAGAGAAAAAAGAAAGAGCCCATCGAGAAGGATTAGTAAAACCTATCTCTAGCAACTTACATACATTCTCGATTAAATTATGATCCGATCAAGAACTCATTATTGTAACAGATAAAGTCAAATTTGTGAGATCCACTACTAAATCTAACTTAAAGCATTGAACTTTTTTTTCTTTATCTCATCTCCTTTGCTCTGCTTTCTTCTGGTCAACCCCCACGATATTCCTTCTTATGTGATTGTAAAGAGAAGATTTTTCAGAGATGGGTCTCTTCGAATTGGTGAAATCAATCGATTGGGAACAAGAATCGTTCCCAACTTATCAGGATTTAGGGTTTTTGCCTCTCTTTGCAGTGTTCTTTCCTACAATTCGATTTCTACTTGATAGATTCGTCTTCGAGGTAATTTTACTTATTCATGTACACCTTTTGGGATTATAGATTTGTTGTTTCTCCAATCGCATTTATTGTTGTTTCACCAACCAACAAAAAAAAAAAACATCACTTTCAGATTTCTACCTTTTAGTTGAGAGACCAATCATTACTCTTGACTCGTGTCTCTCTGTATGAATCTGCTGATGTTTAGATTTTGTCTGAAAATAAATGCAATGTAGATGAAGCAGATTTGTTTGGTACTTTTGGTAGGTGAAAGTTTACATTTTTTGTTTTATTGGTGTTTTGTAGAAATTGGCAAATCTTGTGATCTATGGAAGGAATTTTTCTTTATTATTATAAATATTCAAACATACAACATACTAATCGTACAATTAACACTATATAGATTTCTATATGGAAGTGTATTTACTATCTATCAGCTGAGCTACTTGCTTTATCTGTGACTTATAATGAACCTTGGTTTTCAAATACTCTCTACTTTTGGATTGGTCCTGGAGATCAGATTTGGCCTGATCAACCGATGAAGTAAGACTTTTTCATTTTTTCGTCGTTATGGTGAGCATTTACTTATATATGTTTTTATATATATATGTTCTCATAAAAAAAAGAAGTTGAAGTTTTTATATATGTTTGCTGCTGGATTCTACACGTACTCTATATTCGCGTTGGTGTTTTGGGAAACAAGACGGTCTGATTTCGGAGTTTCGATGGGTCATCATATCACAACTCTTGTTCTCATTGTCCTCTCCTATATCTGCAGGTACGTATTAGAATATGTTTATACACTTGTGTTGTGGAGGGAAAGGATTTATCTTTGCTCTGATCTTCTTTTGTTTTTCGATGTTGATGATATAGATTAACTCGTGCTGGTTCTGTTATTCTTGCACTTCATGATGCGAGCGATGTGTTCCTTGAAATTGGGAAAATGTCGAAGTATTGCGGAGCTGAAAGTCTCGCGAGCATTTCGTTTGTTCTTTTCGCTTTGTCTTGGGTCGTTCTACGTCTCATTTACTATCCTTTTTGGATCCTGTGGAGCACAAGGTTTGTTAATATCCCCCGAACGTTTTTCTTGAATGTTTTTCTTGACTTCTTGATGTATATATTGTGATTTTTGATTTGCAGCTATCAAATTATTATGACTGTGGACAAAGAAAAGCATCCTAATGGGCCGATCTTGTACTATATGTTCAACACACTACTGTATTTTTTGCTTGTTCTTCATATATTCTGGTGGGTTTTGATTTACCGGATGCTTGTGAAACAAGTGCAAGATCGAGGCAAGCTTAGCGAAGATGTTAGATCCGGTACGCAACAAAAACTCTATTTTGGACCATCCAAGTAGAGAAAAAAACCCGCTATTAATGTTGTTTCATTTCTTTTGCAGATTCTGAAAGCGATGATGAACACGAGGATTGATTGCAGATTCGGAATATTAGTGCCTGCACGTTGTTTTATCTCATGAACCTGAACCACACGGAGACTTCAGATTTCAACATGAAGCAGGATTCATTGCAGTAATGTTTTTGCTAGAATTTTAACTGTTGGTTCATCATCTTCCAGAGGATCGTAACCGGAATGAATCGGTTTCTCAATCTGAATTTTTGATTTCTTTAAAAGTTTGAGCAAATTCAAGATTTTGATTAGACACACTGCTCAAACTGCTACACTTTTTATTTATTTTTCTTCTTCAGTTTGAATTGGTTGGGACTACATTTATGCTTTTGCAATAACACAATTCCTTGTATCATTAAAAACGTCATCTCAAAATTAATTCCCTTTATATGTTTGATCATCTTTTAATTATCTCCTAAACATATAAAGTTCATAGACAATTAATATGAATAATCAAAATAAAATATTTGGAAAGAAAAAAAAGAATAAAGGAAAAATCAGTATTTTTACTTAGGCGCACAATAGCGACACGCCTTTGAGATTTGTTTGGGGTTTTAGCTTTCTCGCTGTCTTGGACGGGAAGACTGAAACCAATTGCAACAAAAAAGAAAAAAGCTCTCTTCTTTGTTCATCATCGATCGATTCTTCTGCAAAAAGGTAACTCCTTTTCACATCCTTCTCTGCACCAAACCCTAAATTTTCTTGCTTTTTTTTCTGGGTCGTCTCTCATTGACATCTTCCTTCAACTGATACTGTCTAGTTTGCTTCCCAACTCTTGAAATGTATAAATTTCGAGACTTTTCTGGAGATTTGAGTTGGGAATTGTTACTGCAGTTTTTGGCTACCAGTGTGATTCGGATATTTAGAAAAAGAATCGATTTTTTGGATTATAACGGTAAAAGGAATCAATCAACGATCTGTGATTTGATGATTGTTATCTTTTGTTGCATTGCTTGCGGAATATAAAGATGAGTCGATCTTCATATATATGTCCACGAACCAACACAAGTTTGCGTTTGATTTAGGTTTTGCAGCAACTAGTCCTGTTTTGGTGTCTTTCTAATCTCACTCACAGGATCTCTTAATGTGGAATATAAGATATTTGATCCTACGACTGTTCGTGCTTTCATGTTGGGTTTATAATATGGATACAATTGAATTCCTGGCATTCCATTTTGATCAGAACCAAAGAACTGTTTGTGTTTGCATCACCTGATTCAGTTTAGGTGTCATTGTTATCTAATTCTCATGGTTATCTAAGAACGTTATTTTGGATATAAGTATAACCTGGATGTTTTGGAAACTAATCGGTTTTTTTTTCGTTAGATTTTCCGCAGTTTTTGTTGATTGGATTGGCCGATTGAAACTGGAGAAGGAAAAAAAATCGATTATTTGACATAAGATCTGTACCAAAAAAAAAAAATTCTTCCATCAGCTCAGTGGATTTTGCATTCTCTTAAGTTATTTTAAGTAATTCTTCAAGTAAAATCTGTGATTCGATGATTGTTATCTTTGTAGGTAATGTATAGACACAATGTAGGTAATGTATAGACTTATCTAGGAAAACAAATAGTTTTTGGTTAGAGTTTTGGGGTTCCACGGTTTTCTTTATATGAGGTAAAAGAAATGAAACTGGAGAAAGAAAACTATTTGTAATGAAGGTCGACTTTGTTACGAGCTCTTAAAGCTAAGTTGTCAAATATATGTTTAAGATGGTTGTAATCTTTTGTTGCATTGCTTGTGGAATGTAACATGAGTCGATGTTCTTATATGTCCACAAACCAACAGAAGTTTGCTTTTGATTTAGTTTCTTGCATCAATTATTCTTGTTTAGCTGTCTTTCTAATCTCAGTCACAAGAGTGTGCAATTTCTTATTTTTAATATAAGATTTTTGATCCTACGATGACTGGTCTATTTTGGTCTTTCATGTTGGGTTTGTTAGTAGATAATGGATACAATTGAATTGTTGACATTACATTTGATCAGAACCAAAGAACTGTCTGTGTTTGCATCACCTGATTTGATTTAGGTGAAATTGTTATCTAAGTGCTTGCGTCCTTCTTTAGATGTGTGTGCCTCGTGCTAGCTAAGCTAACTACATCTTTAATATGGTCTTGGTACAGGTTTGTGAGATTTCGATAAAACCTAAGAAATGGAAGATGTACTTACCGAGAATCCTCCACCTTCAAGATTCTTCCAAGAAGATCTTAACAACTTTGTTCCGCCACCTGAATCCCTACCATCTCCTTTCATCATATTCTCAAACCCGAAACCCGAACTTCCTCTCCGACCATCTCTACTCATCATAGCCATATCTTCACCTTCCCTCTATATTTTCCATAATTTACCTTCAAAGACTCTCCTTGGAAGTCTCATCATGCATGAAGTCCCGTTTTCTGGAAACACCATGGAACCATTGAGAGAGAGAGAGTTACTTGTTGCATGCAAGGCAGAACAAATTGGTAAGTGGTAACCAAACCTTTGATCCCAATTGTGAAATACAGATTAGATTATAATAAATTAATAACCATTGTTAAAGACATTACAGACACAATACAATAATTCCATATAGTCATATCTAGAGGGTTACCAAAAGTCATTAATGTTTTTAATTACCAAAAAGCTAATTAAAGGCAATCGTCAACGTACTACTATCCTAACCACTTAATGTTTGGCTTTGTTGTGTTCCTAGAGAGCCTTCGCTGAGCCGAAATTCCTGCCACAAAAACATCCAACAACAAGCAAATTTTTTATTATTATTAAATACTATAATTAAAGACATCGAAACATTGAGAGAGAGAGAGTTAATTGTTGCATGCAAGGCAGAACAAATTTCCAGTCGGTAAAACTTTCTCTGTTTTTGCCTTTTTGCCTTTTTTGCAGGCACCACGTCATGGGTCTCGGATGCTCTCTTCTTGCATGGAGGTGTCTCTGTAGGTGTCTCCACATAGCCGTCCAAATCAGGAGTCTTGTAGCCCATGAAATGGATGAATCCTTCCACCCATGGATTGTGAAAGCTTGAACTCCTTCTCGAAGGAGAGATCAAAACTAGCCGTGGGAAATTGCTTTCGGGAAAGAATTGTATTGTCATGTTGATGACGAGAAATACGTCGTGGCAATTCTTTCCCGAAAGCAATTTCCCATGGCTAGTTTTGATCTCTCCTTCGAGAAGGAGTTCAAGCTTTCACACTCCATGGCTGAAGGATTCATCCATTTCATGGGCTACAAGATTCCTGATTTGGACGGCTATGTGAAGACACCTACAGAGACACCTACATGCAATAAGAGAGCATCTGAGACCGATGACGTGGTGCCTGCAAAAAAAGCAAAAACAGAGAAAGTTTTACCGACTAGAAATTTGTCCGGCCTTGCATGCAACAAGTAACTCTCTCTCTTAATGTTTAGATGTCTTTAATTATAGTATTTGATAATAATAAAAAATTTGCTTGTTGTTGGATGTTTTTGTGGCAGGAATTTCGGCTCAGCGAAGGCTCTCCAGGAACACAACAAAGCCAAACATTAAGTGGTTAGGATAGTAGTACGTTGACGATTGCCTTTAATTAGCTTTTTGGTAATAAAAAAACATTAATGACTTTTGGTAACCCTCTAGATATGACTATATGGAATTATTGTATTGTGTCTGTAATGTCTTTAACAATGGTTATTAATTTATTATAATCTAATCTGTATTTCACAATTGGGATCAAAGGTTTGGTTACCACTTACCAATCAATTTATATTTTATAATCAGAGTGATCATCTTATAATACAATTCCTTGTATTGTTATAATGTCATCTCAAAATTAGCTCCCTTGCAACAGATTAACACTAACTGAATTTTTTGGTTTAATGCATAATTTGATCATCATTCTTTTAGTAATCTCCTGAACAATTAATATGAATAATCCAATTAAATACTATCTATATATATATATATTTTTGGTGAAGATTTGGCCTCAAAAATCCTTTTACAATTTCAATATTGTACATTTAGTCCCTACAAATAAAATCTGAAAAAATATATGTCTTAATCAAATTTACAACTCAATAAATAAACTCTTAAAACATTTCCTATTTTTATGGTTACAAGATTTGAGATCTTAACATATGGAAGTCAAATATTCAAAATTAAAACTATTAATAACCATAATCTCGGACGAATCTACTAAATATAAACAACTAACCAAAACCTAATCGTAATCAAATCTTGAAATCAAAATATTTAATTTTAAATGCTATTAAACATAATCTCGAGAAAATCTAGCAAATGGAAACTATTAAAACAATAAAATCGAAATCAAATCTAAGTTGATTTTCTAAATAAATTATTCCACATTCCATATTTAAAAATGCATGTTTAAGAAGAAATAACTTATCATATTATTTAAAACGTTTTAAATATGTGTAATATTACTACGAGATTAATAGAGGATATTATCCCCATATCTCGCTTAAATATTAACTTTCCTTAAACACATTCAATTTTTTTTTACGATTTTAAAGATATGTGGTTTGTATTTATTACTATTATCTTGATTGATTAATCGAATAAGATTTAATGCTAACAATAAATATTATGTGCAAATCAAAATTGGTTAAATACTTAAAAGCATATCCTCTACAGATTTGTTAAAACAATATATATAGTCTAAATCATTGGCATATTACAACAATATATTTTAAAGATCACAATCTTTCCAAAAACAAGATAATCAGTTATTCAATCACAATATTTCGGATTTATTAGTTTCCTCGATAAGATTTGTGTATATCAAAATTTAACTTCACCACTGATGTCTAGTGATTTTGGTTGTTTTAAAGCCTCTTTTCTCTTAGTTTTCATTGTTTTGCATTCATATTTCGGCATATAGTGTTGTATTTGCATTTGCATTTGGTTTTCTTAGGTACGTGAGTGGAGCTTGGAGTTTTGGGAATAAATAGAGCAAAAAGGGAGCTAAAAGAAGGCAACTTGAGTAATGAAGATCAAAGAGGATCAAGAGGTGAAAGAAGATGTCAAGATGTGGTGAAGAAAGATAATTGAAGAAGAGAAGAGGAAGCAATAGACCATCTGGTCGATTCCCTGGTCTATTGACGTGGATCAGAGCTACAGACAAGACACCGATCGATCAAGCAATCGACCGATTGCCTCAGGACAAACCAATCGACCAACTGGTCTATTCCTTGGTCGATTTACATAGATCAGAGCTTCGGACAACACTTCAATCGATCACTTGATCGATCGATTGCTCTACCCAGTAGACCAAGTGGTCGGTTGAGTGGTCGATTGGGTGCCTGAACCGGGTCAAAACCCGGTTTGTTCCGGGTTGACCCGGTTCGTTTTCCCCTTTTGTATATATACTCTTAACCTAGTCTTAGATTGGGGTATGCTTTGTTTAGAGTTCAAAAACTTCTCTTAAGGTTTATTTCTAAGTTTTTGTATGAATCTTTGGTTTTGTTGAGTTTTGATTTTTGAATCAAAATTTCTCTTTTAATCTCTTATCTACCTTCTCTAATTATGATTTCACAAAGATCAAACCTATTGCTTTGTGTAATCATGATCATGAGTGAGTAGTCATTTAGAGTTCTTGGGTTAAGGTAGATTAGGATGGTTTAGTTGTTGGGTTATGGAGTTTAGGGCTAGATTACTTAAGATCCTTGCTTATTGGTTGATTATAAAGCTAGATTAGCCTTGATCATGTTGATTTAGACTTTAGGAATTTCATGCCCGGAAGGTGTTCGATGAAATTCCCGAACCAAAGCCTTTAAGTGTTTTACATTCCTTACCTTTGGAAATTGTTGACTAGGGTGTTAAGTGGCTAGATAGACTTCTTTATAATGCTTGTTAGTCAATTGATTGCCTTTGGAAGAAGTTGATGATTAATTGATTAGTAAATGGACTAATGTCATGGAAATGTGTTAGTGTTGCTTAATGTTCTATGGCCTAAGGATCATTGCTTATTAAAAGTTGTTTGAAGCTCCATAATCCATCTCTTTATCATTCCAAATCAATTTCCTTTAACCCGAGAATTCGCCTTTAGTATCGCTTAGTAACTTGTTTATTTTTCCGGTTTGTTTACTTTCGAAGCTTGTTAGTCTTTTGCATTTTGCTTCCATTTGTCTTGTTTTGCTTTGTTTGATTGTTATTTACTTTGTTAGTCAAGTTTACAAAACCCTACCATCTTATTAGCCTAGATTAAGCTTTTGCGTGTATTCCTAGTGAGTTGATCAATTGCAAATTGTGGTTCGATATTTAATTGAGTAAAGTACTACATCAACCACCAAGAAAATAACAATAATTTAGAAGGCCTAAACTTATATGATCTCTATATAAGAAATGTCAAGAGCAGTCATTTCATTCATCTACACACATTTCTGTTTAACAAATTTCAAAGTTTTTCAAGTTATCTATCATTTATTTCTCATGGCATCTTTTAGGAGTCTTTCAAACTTGAAACCCTTTAAGAACATGTAGAAATAAAGGTCAAGATTATAAGATTTTGAAAACAATACTTTGTTTTTCTGGTGAAACAATAGAAATAGTACTAACAAAGTTTTTGTTTCTTTTCTTTTGTAATAAGAACTTTCATATTTTCTGTTTTGTTTTTGTGACTAGGATCGGACCCGCGGTCCACCGCGGGGGAATATTGGTTTACATACGTTGATTTTAATATTGTGCGTGTTTTTAGTCCAATCGTGTAATGTACTTATAAATATTCATAATAATAAATTGTAGAGAAAATATTAAATTGTTTATAATTAAACCCATCATATTAATTATGATTTACAAAATGAAATTTTGTGTTTTAGAATTCTAAAATTAGACGATTCATGAGAATTAGAGCAGTCAAAATAGGTCAAAAACCACGGGTCGAGCCCAAATCATCTCATTATAGGGAAGATTTGGGAAAATTTATTAAACCCGCAAATAAGCGGGCCACATAGATTGATTCGCAGTGGGTCATAGGTTTTAATCGGTTTTCGTCCGCAGGTTGGCGGATCAGCCCGCATGTTAGTATTTATTGATAAAAATATAATTTATTCAATATGTGGTAATTTAAAAAACTTTTAGTAAATGAAATTATAATATTTATAAATATAATGATATATAAAGTTGTTTCTCTAATTTTTTTAATTTATTTATTTTAGTAGTATTTTAAATTTAGGTTACTTTAAAATTATTTAAACAAAATCTACGGACAACCCCGAACTAATTTATAAAATAGATGGGTTAGTTGTGATAAATTTTATAGAAATTTTTAGAAGCAAGTAAGATATCTTTCAATTAATGATAATTGGCTAAAATAAGCAAAATTAATGACAAAAATGTGGATTGTTATGGAATTGGTTCCTAATATATATGAACAAATATATTATACGTAATTAATGTATAGTATTATTTGGAATATGCTTTTATAATTACTTAGCATAAGTACAATCAGATTTTATTTGATTTCCATAAACATTTGATTTTAGTTCGATTTTTTATTATTAATTCGAATTTATATTCCAAAAAATTTCAAAGATCCGATTTCAGAATTTGACCCGACCCATTTTCATTTGTACTTCTCTTTTAATAGTATAGAGATTATAACCATACAAAGATTATTTTGGTATTGAATAATGATTGGATTTGTTATGTCTAATGCAGATTTTCATTGGTCTATGTCACTTACGGGTTGAATTTGTCATGTTTCGCCGTGTTGGCCCCTATGTCATTCCGAGGTATACATCTCATCTCTAATCCATTAAATCTTAAACCATGATAACATATTTTAATCATAGAGTTACCTCTCTATCATTTCTTCATATTCTCTAACTTGAAGAATGTCAAGGAACGAATCCACCGCCGTCGTCTCTGTTGTCACGCCGGAGAAGACCATTGTTTCCAAATGCGGCGATTCACGTGATGTGCTTTGCCGTGACGGCGTAGCCAGTCCTCTTTCCGTGGATCACAAGGTTTTAAAAACAAAGCTATATATAATCAAGAATTGGTTAGTATCAATCAAGATCGTATGATTCTAAGAGTTTTTGTGGTTTTGTGTAGTGATGAACAGCCGGATCGACCCGATGAATTGATTCGGATCCAGCAAGCAGGTGGGCGGGTTATTATTGGGATGTAGCTAAGGTTCTTGGAGTTCTTGCCATGTCTAGAGCAATTGGTGAGTGATCTCTCTTTGTGATTCGAATTCGTAAAGCTATTTTAATAATATGTTTGAATTAAAACTGTTGATTTTTGTTTTTGTTTACATAGGCCATATTTACTTGAAACCATATGACGACGACGACGGATCCGAAAGTAATAGTGACAGATGGAACCGACGACGACGAGTGTTTGATCTTGGCGAGTGATGGACTATGGGACGTTGTACCAAATGAGACGGCGTTATGGAATGGCTCGCGTGTGCCCTCGAGGTACTGGTAGAGCGGATGGTGATGATTCCGTTGCAGCAGCGACACACAATGCTTGCTCTGATGCTTCGTTGCTATTAACGAAGTTGGCTCTAGCAAGACCGACCTTCGATAACGTGAGTGGTGTGGTCCTGTGGTTGACAGGAGGAAGAGGAGGAATAATCAACCATCGTCATAATATTTAGTGTTTAATTAGTAGTAGTATTAGAGAAATTTTCACATAGCCTAATTGTAATTTTTATATCAAGTTATCCTTTTCCCCTTTTTCAATACTAGGTTATGAACCCCCGCGATGTCGCGGGGGAACTCATTTTCAACAAATATATTTGATTATGTTTATATATTAAATTATTATGATAATATATTCAAATATATGAATTATTACATAAAATTAACTATGTTTTAAAGTTATATCGTAATTGTGGAAGTCCCCTTGGCTCATTGGTTGACTAAGAGTTGATTAATGCTTCTACACCAAAAGGTCTGGGGTTCGAGTCCCAGGTATTGCGATTTATTAACAAATTTGCAGATTAATGGAGGCAAGTGTGCAAGAGATCTCCAGCGATGTACAATTATAGCCGTACGCCAAGATTCTACGCAGAGAATGAAGTGTCGCCAGGTCGTGGATCATTGAAGGTATTCATCAAGATTACGAAGAAAGAAGTGTAGTCTGTCATGAATCTAGTAAGGGTCGGAAGAAATTGTTAGTTGTAGAATCGTCTATGTAACAGTTCTCATAATTTGCAATTAATAATAAATCTAGACGACAAAAAAAAAAAAGTTATATCGTAATTATTTTCCAATGATGTTAAAATACTTTATGATTAAAATTGTAAAAAAAAAAAGAATTATGATTAAAAACACTTCTGAAACATTTTTTATGAATATAAAATTATTTCTAAGTGACAAAATTTATAACGAAGTGTTATAATATAGATATGAAAAATTCTAACGGGTCAAAACCCAAAAATTCGGATGGAGTCGGTACTAATAATGACTTTGTGGGATACTAAGAAGTTCGCCTTAGAATTAGTGCCCATTGTTCTTTAAATATAAAATTAATATTTATTGTATTATATATATTCGAGAAAATATAAAATTTGATGATGTAAATTACATCTATAACAAAAAAATAAACATTTACAAGATCTCATAAATTTATATTTATATTGATAATTAACTGAGTAAAAAAACATCTTTCTTGAATATTCATGTGACGAATTGGAATCATTACTTTTTCCTGATAATGTAGATGATTTCTGGATTACTATACCATTTTAAACGGTTCATTTGAAGCTTACCACATTTAAAACGCCCAATCACAAGTATCACATGAGGATGTCTTCTCATATTTAGACTTTGTAATAGTGTTAACGCAACATCAATATTTTCTTGTATACAACCCATATATATTGCCTTAAGATAGAAAGTATTATTGTTACTATATAAAATAGTTAAATAAAAAAATTCACTATATAATCCGTTCAATTCTAAGAAAACAATTGTTGGTATCTTCATTAGAATTTTATATGTAAAGTTGATTAAAACTTCTCCATTTCTATAATCAAACCAAAAGACTTTGGTTAGATCAAGAATGCGAAGATTTTTTTTAATATTAAAATGATGTATGTTTAGAAATAGGTTAGAGAATAAAGAATTTGGAGCCATTTTATAGATTATTTATTTTTGGATTCATCATAAAACAAATAATGTATGTTAAAGAACAAAAATTTGGGAACTACTTAGGAAGAAAGAAAAATATATAGAGTTCAAAAGTCATGAACATTTAAATAGACAACTATTCATACAAAAAGTTGTGACGAAAAAATGCAATGAAATATAGTGAAGAAAAGTATTTAAATGAATAGATGCAACTATCAAGACACGACCGTAAACTGAAAAAATACAACTATAATTGAACAAATAGAACTGTCTCAAAAAAATAACAATGAATATTTTAACGAAAAGATGCAATGAAAAGACACAACTTAGAAAAAATAACCGTCAATAGTTTAACGGAAAGTTGCAATAAAAATACACAACAAAAAAAATTACCGTCAACAAAAAAAATAACCGTTAATATTTTAACGAAGAGTTGCGATAAAAAGATACAAGCAAAAAAATAACCGTCAATATTTTAACGGAAAGTTGCGATAAAATGATACAAACAAAAATAGTAATTGTTAATATTTTAACGGAAAGTCACGATAAAAAGACACATCCAAAAAAATAACCGTAAAAAAAAAATACCCTTCAGTATTTTAATGAAGAGTTACGATAAAAACTCAAACGAAAAAAGTAACCGTCAAATTTTAACGGAAAGTTGCGATAAAAAGACGCAATCGAAAAAATAACCGTCAACAGAAAAAGTAACCGTCAATATTTTAACGAAGAGTTGCGATAAAAAGACACAATCGAGAAAAAATAACTGTCAATATTTTAACAGAAAATTGCGATAAAATACACTAACGAAAACAGTAACCGCCAATATTTTATCAGAAAATTGCGATAAAAAGACGCAACCAAAAATAACCGTCAACAAAAAAAGTAACCGTCAATATTTTAACGAATAGTTGCGATAAAAACACAACTAAAAAAGAACGTCAACAAAAAAGTAACCGTCAATATTTTAACTAAGAGTTGCGATAAAAAGACATAACCAAGAAAAAATAACCGTCACTATTTTAACGAAGAGTTACGATAAAAAGACACAACCGAAAAAAAATAATCGTCAATATTTTAACGGAAAATTGCGATAAAAAGACAAAAACAAAACAAAATTAGCCGCCAATATTTTATCGGAAAGTTGCGACAAAAAGACACAACTGAAAAATAACCGTCAACAAAAAATGTAACCGTCAATAGTTTAACGAATAATTTTGATAAAATCACAACCGAAAAATAACCGCCAATATTTAAACGAAAGTTTGCAATAAAAAGACGCAGTCGTTCAAATGTGCAAAAGACATTTATTGAACTACTGTTCAAATAATCGTTGTAGCAGGACAAAAAATTGGAATTTCGAAAAGAAAGACAATATATAGAGTTGAAAAGGCACGATTTTACAACTATTCGATAAATCCATTACGTAGACGAACGTGTCCGTTACAGCTTTAATGTGTGGGGCTCATTTCACTCACGTATGTCCAAATTATTTAAACCTCTATATTATTGTTTTCCCATGATATCACGTAAATGTTAAATGAATGATATAATTAAGGAGGTTATACTACTAAATATATCCATATGTAAACTATGAAATAAAACCAATTTTTTTTATGTAGTTTATTGGTTTACGTAAAAAGAAATTCAATAAAACAACATGACCGTACAAAAATAACTGTAAGAAAAACAACCATAAATATTTAAACGAGAGATTGCAATAAAAAGACGCAACCGTTCAGATGTGCAAATGGTATTTATTGGAAACGACATAACCGTAAAAAATTAACCGATTAAAACGAAAATTGCGATAAAAAGACGCAACCAAAATAACCGTAAAAAATAACCGATTTAAATGAAAGGTTGCGATAAAAAGACGCAACCGTTCAGATGTGCAAATGGTATTTATTAGATTGCTATTATATATAGATTTGGTTTGTATATTGTTTTTTTCAATTTGATCCTAATTTGGATTTGATAACACTTCTTAGGATTCATGTGATATATTATAAGAGATTGTGTTTGATAAAGAAGATGTGAGATGAAGAAGCTCTATACGGTTTGTTACTTTAGAATAATCAAATTTTTAGCTTCTGATTATTTTATGCTTTTTGTTTTATTGTGAATAATAGCTTTTATAACTTTTTGATTATAAATATTTTTAACTTGCTAAATTTTTTTAATGATCATAGATCATATGATGGAGCGTCACACCAAAAAAAATCATATGATGGAGCGGGTTAGAATTTACATAAATACAATAATATAGTTTTGGTATACACAAAATTTAAAAAAGTTGATAATATTAATAATATTTGAATTCCATAAAAATTAAAAATATATTTATTATGAAACTATTTAAAAACAAACTTTTAAATTGACTTAAATTATATGTCTTTTAAATAAAAGTACTGTTAAAAAAATAACAAAATGATATTTAGTTTCACATGATGGGGTTATATGGGGACACGGGACGGTATACCACGGGTGAAGTTGTAGAATTAACAATCAAAATACAATTATACAATCTTAAATACTAAACAAAACAAACAATATTAACAAAACAAATGCAACTTAATATTTAAATATACAACAAACACAATAAGATGATACGTTATTTGCACACGTCGTGGTACACCGTCGCCTACTAAATAGTAATCCCATTTTTCTTTATTATTATAAATATTCAAACATACAACATACTAATCGTACAATTAACACTATATAGATTTCTATATACATTCTAATCACACATGTAAATAGGTTATATAAAGACTTATTATATTTAAAACCTATATTGATTTTTCTCAAATAAACATATATTATTTTTTTTAAATAAAAATATAGTCTCGCGGTGTACCGCGGGTCAATCCCTAGTTTGGAAAGAAACTAGAATGAGTCAGCATCTACATCTCATCGTCGAAGTAGTTGCTTTATTTTACAAACTAGGGGAGGTCTCCGCGCCCAGCGCGGGGTTGTATGTTGATTAAGACCAAAATTAGTAATTAATATTTAGGATTATCAAGTTAGGGATATTTATCGGTCTGATTTCGGAGTTTCGATGGGTCATCATATCACAACTCTTGTTCTCATTGTCCTCTCCTATATCTGCAGGTACGTATTAGAATATGTTTATACACTTGTGTTGTGGAGGGAAAGGATTTATCTTTGCTCTGATCTTCTTTTGTTTTTCGATGTTGATATAAAAAATCTATATATTTAAACCAACAATATATTAGCAACGCCCCGACCGCCACTGTCCATGGGTTCCCACGTCCAGTCTCGGTCTTTAGGCCCATCTTCTTTGTTTTGTCGTACTCTTGATTTTATGACATATTCATGCTTACTCGTTTCTTTCATATTAGCAACGCCCCGACCGCCACTGTCCGTGGGCTCCCCACGTCCAGTTTCGGTCTTTAGGCCCATCTTCTTTGTTTTGTCGTACTCTTGATTTTATGACATATTCATGCTTACTCGTTTCTTTCATATTTGTAATGCCACGACCGCCACTGTCTGTGGGTTCCCACGTCCAGTTTCGTTCTTTGAGCACATCTTCTTGGTTTTGTAGTACTCTTGGTTTTATGACATATTCACGCTTCCTCGTTTCTTTCATATTTGTAACGCTCCGACCGCCACTGTCTGTGGGTTCCCCACGTCCAGTTTCGGACTTTAATTTGGGCCCATCTTCCTGGTTTTTGTTGTATTCTTGATTTTATGACATATTCATGCTTTTAGATTGTATGCAACAATATTCAAACAATGAGAAGATCAATGATTGATGACTAACCATACAACCGAAGCAAAGCCATAAACAGAAACGAAAGTACTAAAGAGCCACAACAGCAGTGATACGACATTTGTTTCCTCGCACTGGAAACAATGACATGCTTCCATAAATCCAATCTAGTTTTTATGGAAAACAAACCTGCATTCATAATAAACACTACTATTAATTATTATTTTTTATGCAAGAATTAAATGGCAGTATAAAAAATTCAATGGTTAGTGCCGAAAAAAAAAGCAAGGATTAGTTATGATATCAAATCAAAATTAAATATCAAGCAAGGTATTTACATAAAATTAAGGCAGTGGAGGATCTAAGAATTTTTTATATGACAATATCTACAACTAAACAAAGAAAATTTATATATTTTTAAAACAGAATCATTATTTGTTTTTTGGTAAGATTTAAACCGAATCATTATCATATTAGTAAAATTATCATTTATTTATTATTATCCACGTTAATTTAAAAGTTTAAGAGAATATCTGCTTTTTTCTCATAAAAGGATGGGATAATAACATAACTCTTTTAGATTTATAACTATATTTGACATTATCATATTAAATCTATTAAGATAAATATATTTCTTTTTGAAAAATATAAATAAAATGATAATATAATTATTATAGATTTACAATTATATTATTATCCATGTCAAAATTTTAAAACATTTTACTTTTTTCTCACATAGGAAGATAGAACAATAACGTAACAGTTTAAGATTTACAACATAAAAATAATATCAGAATTGGAACGCCAAATCATAATCAACACAATTAACACAACTCTAATGGGAAATTAGAGTTATCTTGTGATTAAAATACTAAACAAACAAAACTAACCGAAACAAAACAAAAGTCTTCCTTTCAAAATCATTAATGTGACGGATTGCTGACTGATTAAGTTGAAGTTTTAGGTATTTAAAGATCTAAAAAGATGATTAAGGTTAAACATTTTTATTTATTTTAAACAACGTTTGAATGTTGACAAAAAAAGAAGAAGAGAGTGTTGGGACCATCGGGAGAGACAACGTTGAGCAGCTGCGAAAGAAGCCAACGTTGTCTATTATGTTCCTCACAGTGTTTGATTTGACTTTTGATGATATTACACTCCTGTCCACTTGTTGTCTCGAAAGTTCATGCAATGAAAAATTATTAAACAAAACAATTTACTTTTATGTATAAATCCTAGGGAAGAGCCGATCAAGCTAAGATCAATGGTTGTGGTTTTAGTACCGTATACTTCTCAAATATACCCGTTCAATAACGGAAATCCGCAAGACGGGGAGGAGACGAAGTCAACCTAGCTGACAAAGGAGCTAACCCAGCTCCTTTGGTCTTATTTATGGTCATATGTATTTAGCAAAATATAGTATACAAACCGAACCAATCAACAACAAAACCTGGTTTTAAATTGTTGTATATTTCTCAAAAGTCAAAACCCATAATAACCAATGGAAAAGAAGAAGCTAATGCAGAGCATACTTACGCTTGGAGTAAAGAGTGATGCAAGCTTCCATTGGCACACCCGAAAACGCATCAGAGCATGGAAAGAAACCTAAAAACCAATAAATTAAACAATAATTAAATCTTAGTGCATGGAAAACGAATCCTATACATACCAAAGTCCGAATCTCAGTGCCTTAGAATGACCTCGATACCAAAAAATTTAAGTTACTACTTCCATATATGTAATATTTTAGTTTGGGGAGAGAGATTGGCAACGAAGAGTAATTCCTGAATTTAACAGCCAAGTTTGTTATCCCTAATCTAAAGAGAGGAATACTTAAATTGTATTAACGACAAAAATTAGCCTCCTCTGAAGATTCATCCCTGAAATAAGTCATCTTTCTGACTTTGTGGCAACTGTGTTATCAAAAGTTGAGTGTTTCTTCTGAGAAAAGACATATTTGAAAATAATAAGAACATGTACCTCAACAAAATCGGGAGGTACCTCATCTTTTTACAACAAAAAGAAACATACCAAACCATCGATGATTACCTTCTCAAAAGTTGAAACCAAACTTTTTGATTATAAAAATTGATTAGTGGTGAAAATAGTGAAACCATAAATACAAAAAAAAAAAAATCAAATTTGTACATATAAACTATAAGATCACCTGTTTATTCATTGAATTAGGTCCAAATTTTCCATACACCAGTTCACATCGTCCCCTCCATACATCCACCCTACAATAAAAAGAAAAATTAAAATTAGGTAGAAGCAAAAAAAAGTTTGAAAAAAAAGAACAAAAAAACAAGGGTTAGTTATGATCTGAAATTGAATACCATGAGCAAGGTATTTATATTGAATAGGAGGCGGTGCATGATTTAGAGTTTCTAAATTTTTCGACAATAAATACAAAAAAAGAAAAGAAAATTTACATATTTTAATAAGCAAATCACTATCATAATAATAAATATTTGTAAAACTGCCATTTATTCATTGTTATCCATGTTTATTTAAAATAATATTTACTTTTTTCGGTAAAAATATGGAATAATAACAACTATTTTAGATTTACTACTATATCTGATACTATCTTATAAAATATATTAAAATTTAAGGGAAAATTCCTTTCTGTTTCAAAAATAAGGCGGAACAATAATATAATTTTTGATTTACAATAGATAGACATGCATGGTATCCATATGCGTCATGTCACGCTGATCCATATTTTTTTCCAAAACTCGATCTAATTGCTATTTTGATTTACAATAGATAGACATGCATGGTATCCATATGCGTCATGTCACGCTGATCCATATTTTTTTCCAAAACTCGATCTAATTGCTATTTTGTGCAAAAATCACCGCCGTTCACGTTCATGTTCACGTTAGCACTCCATACCTTAATTCACATGTAAACCTCTCTGCCTATCTCTGACTTCAGCTCTCTCATCTTCGAGTCTCCCCAAGAAAGTTTTGACACCACACCAACATTTCATTCGTCAAAATTAAATCGAATTTGCACAAGGTTACAACCGATTAATAGGTGGTATTCTACCTTCTATTTACGATTTTATGCTATGAATATATGTTTTTGTCAGGGTTCAAGTCAATCTACGGATTAGAGACTTATAATCATCCGACGAACAATACGATGGCGTGATAACCGTTTCTAAATTGGTGGGTTCTCTTTCATTGATCTACATATTATTTTTTTTGTTCATTTTTTTTTCCAAATATTTAGATTGAAACGACGACGAACACGACGATCATAACAAAAATTTCATCTATTCCGGTACGTTTGATCTTTATTTTAATTAGTTTAACAATTAATAGCCGTTTACGATTAATTTCGGATATCTAAATCTTATTAATTTGAGTAAGGTTAGAATAGTATTCTTTTATGTTTATATTAATGCTCCGATTAATAATTTTCGGATATTTGACATTATCATCTTAAATATATCAATATTATAATAAATATTTTCCTTTTCCGATTTTTTTTTTTTTGGTATAATTCCTTTTCCGATAAATTATGAAACAGATCTGTTTACACAAAAGGTAAAAAAAAAAAAAAAAAAAAAAAAAAAAAAAAAAAAAAGACACCATCAACCGTCTCCATTCACACGTTTCTTCATTATGATCACGAATTCACGTTCATGGAAGCTTCATCATACATTAACACTTACAAGTTTTTTCGTCGAGTTTTTATCCAAGGTTTCTTCGTCAACTCTGTATCCAAGGTAATAAATATTTGTTCTTTTCATTGGTTAGAATTATAGGGTGCAGGATAGTATTGACGTCTTAAAGACATAACATGGGCAAGATACTATGAGAAGCTTGACTATTCTGCTTCGACAGATCAACAGGTGAAATTCTATCACTAAATTATTAGATCTCTGTTATTGCTATGAATATATGCTTTATGTTAGGATTTCAAGTTTTGCCTTCGTTTAGAAGAATTATATTCACACGACGAAGAACACGATGAATTCAATTAAAACTTCCTAACTGGTACTTCGTTGTTCCTTTTTTTTTTGGTTAATTATCATGTTTATTGTTTCCAAAATTATTTTTTCCTGGTTAATTCCGAAATTCAATTTAATTTTTCCAAAATTAATTAGATTTCATTAAGGGTAATTAAGTAATTACGTAAAATCAATGACTCAACAAGAGCCGAGAGTCCGACACGTCAGCAAAAACACTTCTCAAATATTATTATTTTTCCAAAATTAATTAGATTTCATTAAGGGTAATTAAGTAATTACGTAAAATCAATGACTCAACAAGAGCCGAGAGTCCGACACGTCAGCAAAAACACTTCTCAAATATTATTATATATAGATGTTCTCATAAAAAAAAAGAAGTTGAAGTTTTTATATATGTTTGCTGCTGGATTCTACACGTACTCTATATTCGCGTTGGTGTTTTGGGAAACAAGACGGTCTGATTTCGGAGTTTCGATGGGTCATCATATCACAACTCTTGTTCTCATTGTCCTCTCCTATATCTGCAGGTACGTATTAGAATATGTTTATACACTTGTGTTGTGGAGGGAAAGGATTTATCTTTGCTCTGATCTTCTTTTGTTTTTCGATGTTGATGATATAGATTAACTCGTGCTGGTTCTGTTATTCTTGCACTTCATGATGCGAGCGATGTGTTCCTTGAAATTGGGAAAATGTCGAAGTATTGCGGAGCTGAAAGTCTCGCGAGCATTTCGTTTGTTCTTTTCGCTTTGTCTTGGGTCGTTCTACGTCTCATTTACTATCCTTTTTGGATCCTGTGGAGCACAAGGTTTGTTAATATCCCCCGAACGTTTTTCTTGAATGTTTTTCTTGACTTCTTGATGTATATATTGTGATTTTTGATTTGCAGCTATCAAATTATTATGACTGTGGACAAAGAAAAGCATCCTAATGGGCCGATCTTGTACTATATGTTCAACACACTACTGTATTTTTTGCTTGTTCTTCATATATTCTGGTGGGTTTTGATTTACCGGATGCTTGTGAAACAAGTGCAAGATCGAGGCAAGCTTAGCGAAGATGTTAGATCCGGTACGCAACAAAAACTCTATTTTGGACCATCCAAGTAGAGAAAAAAACCCGCTATTAATGTTGTTTCATTTCTTTTGCAGATTCTGAAAGCGATGATGAACACGAGGATTGATTGCAGATTCGGAATATTAGTGCCTGCACGTTGTTTTATCTCATGAACCTGAACCACACGGAGACTTCAGATTTCAACATGAAGCAGGATTCATTGCAGTAATGTTTTTGCTAGAATTTTAACTGTTGGTTCATCATCTTCCAGAGGATCGTAACCGGAATGAATCGGTTTCTCAATCTGAATTTTTGATTTCTTTAAAAGTTTGAGCAAATTCAAGATTTTGATTAGACACACTGCTCAAACTGCTACACTTTTTATTTATTTTTCTTCTTCAGTTTGAATTGGTTGGACTACATTTATGCTTTTGCAATAACACAATTCCTTGTATCATTAAAAACGTCATCTCAAAATTAATTCCCTTTATATGTTTGATCATCTTTTAATTATCTCCTAAACATATAAAGTTCATAGACAATTAATATGAATAATCAAAATAAAATATTTGGAAAGAAAAAAAAGAATAAAGGAAAAATCAGTATTTTTACTTAGACCATCTACATTGCAGGAACTAACACATGATCTAAGCCTTTTTTTAAACCAAAATAATGGGTTTATGGGCTTAAGATCAGCCAGCCCGCTCTCATCCTGGATCAGTTCTTCTTTGTGTTGCGGGGTGACGTGGCGAGATGGCATTGGTTGGGAGAAAAGGACAGAAAACACAATTTTCATTTCACCCAAAATCGAAAACGACCTAGGGTTTTTTGGCTGAAGCGGCGATTTTCGCGACCCCCATCTTCTCCGACAAAATGTGAGTTTTCCGGCCATAAAATCGAGATCTTTTTGTTTCACTCCCTTTCTGTTATAGAAATCTATCTGTAGACTGTATTTGTAATGTATCTTCTTCGCGATTTGATAGGGCTGGAGAAATCGATCTCCAGAAATCGTTGTCTGCTTGGTGGTTGTACAAATCCGTTCTATAACCGGCGAAATACACAAGGTCAGTCTACTTTTGGTATCCTCTGTCTTTTGGTCTCCTCTGTCTGGTGTCTTTTATGGTCTCCGTTTAGTCTACTTTTGTTTTCATCGATTTCGTTGATTAGAAGAACTATAGGTTGTACAATTGGTTGTGTGTTCTGATTAAGCGATTTAGTTAACCTTCCGTTGATGGAAGAATCTGTGGAACTTCGTTTGCTAACTTATCTAAAAGAACACAGAATCAAAAATGTAACTTTTAATTCATCAAAAAGATCAAAACTTTTCAAGATTCTATTAAAAAGGTTTCATCTTTTTATACCTTTAAGGATAAGATCTTGTGGAGATAATGAGACAGATCCATGGAAACATTCTTCCGTAACCCTAGATTTCTCTGAATAAACAACTTCCACCTACAAAATCCCAAAAACCCATTCTTGATTTCGATTTCACTCCTGCATTCTCATTTAAAGATTCAAACTTTATAAGGGTTCTTGGAGAAGCAAACCTGGTGTTTAAAACCATCAAATTGGGTGTTTTTGAGGGAATGTGCTGGAGAATCATGACCGGAGGAAGTGACCCATTTCTCAGCATCAATCCATTTAGAAGGAAAGTTTCTTCTTCTACCCGAGACATTGCTACTGAAACTGAAGACTCCTCTACCTGGAGTACAAGGAGACTCCATTAACATCAATCTTCTCTGTCCATTGCTTCTTCCTTCTCCAATGCTCTTTTGTGATGAGAAACTTGGTCTTCTCTCGTTTAACATCTCACTGCTGCTGCTGCTACTGCTTTGGTTTGATGAATTTGGCAGTGACTTTATGAAATCTGTAGTTTCCTTTAGGTTGATTCTGTTTGCAAGTGAGTCTTCTCCAAATGGGTTTGTGCTAACATTTGAGGTTGTTTGTATGAACTGCAAAACGATTTGAAACACCAATTTTTGTAACAGTTGTCTAAATTTATATGTCTCTGTTGATTTAAAACAAAACAAGTAGATATGAAACCATTAAGAAAATACATGTTGAATGACCTTTGTTTACTTCTGATTTGATTGAAGTAGGTAAGGGTTATTGTGAATTAAAAGAGTTGAACAACACCAAACTGTAAATTAAATGATCTTCTTAACTACTTTATATTACACTTGAGACAAATAACAAATCTCTCATACCTTCTCTTCGCTTTTATCATCTACCTCTTTTGCTTCTTTCTTAACCAATATTCGTGAACTCTCAATTAATCTCTCTACCTCAGCTTCTTCCTTTTTTAAATCTCATTGCTATGGATCCAAATAATACTCCTAATAGTCAGTCTCAACCCTACTTTAGTCTCTTAAACTTCCCATACGACGGCTATGCTCCCAATGTAAACATTGGTTCCTCTCAAATCCCTTCTTTTAGTTCACAAACTAGTTCACAGCCCACTCAACCTCCTACTCAACCAGAAGAGACAGCAGAACAGCGTAGGGAGAGAAGGATTTGGTCCACAGAAGATGACTTAGTCTTGATAAGCGGGTGGTTAAACACCTCTAAAGATGCAATAGTTGGGAATGATCAAAGGTCAGGCTCCTTTTGGAAGCGCATATCTGAGTACTATGGATCAAGTACTCATGGACTTGGAGGTGCTGAGCCAAGACTCCCTGACCATTGTAGACAAAGGTGGCAAAAAGTCAGCAGGCATGTTAGTAAGTTTTGTGGTGCTTATGCAGAGTCTCTAGCAGAGAAAGCTAGTGGCATGAATGATTTGGATATTCTGCAGAATGCTCACCAAATCTACACTAAGATTTACAAGAAGAAGTTTGCTTTGGAGTATGCTTGGAATGTTCTTCGCTATGAACAGAAATGGCTAAACCTGGAGGCTATGAACCCCACTCCTAATAAGTCAACCAGCTCGAACAAACGCAAAGCAAATGATGCTGCACCATCTTCAGGCTCTGTAGTAGGTGAGCACGAGAGTAGGCCTCCTGGCATAAAGGCAATGAAAAAATTAAGAAAGACCAAAGGTAAAGAGAAGGCCTCAGCATCGGCTGCACCATCTGCTGCATCTGCTACACCATCTGCTGAGTTTAGTAAAATGTTTGAGCTAAAACAGAAGGATGTGGAGGGAATGAAAGAACTCCAAAAGCTGTCCATTCTTGACAGTCTAATTGCCAAGAAAGAAAATCTGGATGAAGAAGACAAAATTGTAAAGAAGAAGCTAGTTGCTGAACTTTTTTTAACTTAGAATAAACACTAGATGATTTGTCTGTTTGTCTTATGTTTGTTTTAACTATGTTTGTCTTTTGTTTTTAATGTGCTTATGAATCAGATATGTAACATTGTTCAACTTGTGCTCTTATGTTTTTAATGAATCGGCTATGTTTGTTTCCTAAATCCTGATTGCTTTGGTTTTGTATTCTGATTATCTGTCTTCCGTTTCTGATTGCATTCTTCATTCTGATTGGTTTCTATTATTTAGAATTAGACTACAATTCTGAAGAGGAGGAAGATAGCAGTTACTATCCTCTGCAACCTCAGACTGTGAAGAGGAGTCTGTGGAGCTGTGATGCTGAACCAACAAAACCTGATTATGAGACAGAACTGATGAAGTTCAAGGACCATTGTTCAACTTGGCCCCTGAATTGGTAGTTGCTGTTTGTTTCAGTATGAGTGTTTTGGTAGTGGCACTCATCATGTTTATTAAGTAAATTAGTGCAGAGGATAAAATCTTGAAAGCTATTTTTTGTGTTTGGACCAGGTTCTTGATCAGCAAGGTGTAGGGCAATTGATCAAGATGGCGACAGAAAAAGGACGAGCAGCTATGCCTAGCCTCAAGGTTGGGATATGTGGAGAACATGGAGGAGATCCATCGTCTGTGGGATTCTTTGCTGAAGCAGGACTTGACTATGTCTCTTGTTCTCCTTTCAGGTAATTTATCAATTTACAAACCAATGGACACTATTTTTACAACATTTAACACAGATTGATGATATTTTGGGGTTTTTTTTGTTGTTGTTGTTGTTGTTGTTGTTGCAGAGTTCCAATTGCAAGGCTTGCAGCTGCTCAAGTTGTTGCATGATGAAGAAAACATGGTGGCATTATTCTGTGAATAAAGAAGCTTTGGGTTTTGTTACATGAAACTGAACAAAATCAAAAGAAATTGGATTTAACTCTTTTTGTTTCCTTCTAAAGAAAGTAGAATATATAAAACCCTTCATGTGATAATTGAATTGCTAATAAAATAAAGACCATTGTTCCTAAACAAAATACATGAGGAAGACAATGTAAGACAGCGGAATGAGATTCTATCAACTAAAATAATTTTAAAGCCAGACTCACGTGCATTTGTTTTGTATGTTTTGGAAACAAAATTTGACAAGAGTCACAGGCTTTTGTTTGTAAGAAAGACCAAAGTTCACATGTGTTTGTCTTGATGTATCAACTTGACGTTCTTTGACAAAAAAAAAAAACCAACTTGACGTTATGGATGCATCAAATACCTTTTTCCACACAAACTTGCAACTCTCTATAAATATTTCAAACGAGCAAAAGATTGTATTTCATCAAACAAACCAAGAAAACATTTCCTTCTCTCCCAACGAACATACAATTCTCTTCTCTTTCTATCTACAAATTCCAAGTTTAATCTCTCCCAAATTTTTATGGCTTCTTCTTCCAATAATTTTCACTACCATTATGATCCAAATAATGATAGTTTTAACCAATTTTTTCAAGCTCAATTTCATAATCAATTTCAAGCTGCTGAAGAGGAAATTCCGGCGGAAGAGGAAATTCAGGCCGAGAGGAAGAAACGTACATATATCGATAGAAAACGGGAAGAAGGTCATGAACGTTTGTGGAACGATTATTTTAGTGATAATCCGACTTATTTGGATAGGCAATTTCGCAGACGGTTTCGAATGAACAAGTCATTGTTCTTGCGTATTGTGAATCGTCTTAGTGAAAAGCTTCCATATTTTCAACCAAAAAAGGATGCAAGGTTCCGAAATGGTGTATCACCGCTAGTACAATGTACTGCAGCAATTCGGCTATTAGCATATGGGACTGGGTCGGACTCGGTTGACGAATATTTACGTATTGGTGAATCGACTGCTCGTGAATGTTTGGAACATTTCGTCGTCGGAATAGTGGACTTGTTTGGCACTGAATACCTACGGCGACCCACACAAGAGGATCTCCGAAGGCTACTCTTTTATGGAGAAAAGCGGGGTTTTCCCGGGATGGTTGGCAGCATCGACTGTATGCATTGGAAGTGGAAGAATTGCCCAACTGCTTGGAAAGGAATGTATTCACGAGGCACCAGTAAACCAACAATTGTTTTGGAGGCGGTAGCTTCACAAGATCTCTGGATATGGCACGCATTTTTTGGAGCGCCAGGTACTAGTAACGATTTAAATGTTCTTGATCAATCTCCAGTTTTTAATGACATTATTTACGGTCGAGCTCCCGAAGTGACGTACTGTGTCAACGGAAGGGAGTATAATTTGGCTTACTATCTGACGGATGGCATTTACCCCGAATGGGCGACATTTGTTAAATCCATCCCAAAACCACAACACCCGGAACATAGTTTGTTTGCTGAACGTCAAGAAGGTGCACGAAAAAATGTTGAGCGTGCATTTGGAGTCCTGCAATCTAGATTCGCCATGATTAAAAATCCATCTCTTTTATGGTCGAAAGGTAAAATAGCATATATTATGAGAGCTTGTCTCATACTCCATAATATGATTGTTGAAGATGAGCGAGATTCATACACTCTCTATGACGAAAATGAATTCCGACAAGAAGATGAAACCGAAATACCTCGGGATCTTACGTTTTCAGTAAATATGGCTACAAATCTTGAAGGTTTAGGTGATGGGCATACAAGAATTCGTGATAGACAAGCACATCACCAATTAAAAGAGGATTTGATTCAACATATTTGGAATAAATTTGGACAATAAACTATGTATTAATTAGATAAAATGTTTTTGTACTTTTATTAAGTAATATGTTTGTTTGTTTATTGTTATTTATATTTTTAATGTTTTTTTTTCATAAATATTTAGTATTGTATTTTCACTTCTAATTTCACTTTTAAATGTTTTAATAATTGTAAAATCTTAATTTAATTTAGATTATTATATTATTAAATCTTAAGATCTTACACATGTTCTCCCACTAATCAACTTATAAACAAAAGATCTAAATACATGATCTTACATTACTTTAACATTATATTCTCTCTAAGAACACCCTCATATGATCCCCCATTGATGATGCCCTTAGTCGCACAATAGCGACACGCCTTTGAGATTTGTTTGGGGGTTTTAGCTTTCTCGCTGTCTTGGACGAGAAGACTGAAACCAATTGCAACAAAAAAGAAAAAAGCTCTCTTCTTTGTTCATCATCGATCGATTCTTCTGCAAAAAGGTAACTCCTTTTCACATCCTTCTCTGCACCAAACCCTAAATTTTCTTGCTTTTTTTTCTGGGTCGTCTCTCATTGACATCTTCCTTCAACTGATACTGTCTAGTTTGCTTCCCAACTCTTGAAATGTATAAATTTCGAGACTTTTCTGGAGATTTGAGTTGGGAATTGTTACTGCAGTTTTTGGCTACCAGTGTGATTCGGATATTTAGAAAAAGAATCGATTTTTTGGATTATAACGGTAAAAGGAATCAATCAACGATCTGTGATTTGATGATTGTTATCTTTTGTTGCATTGCTTGCGGAATATAAAGATGAGTCGATCTTCATATATATGTCCACGAACCAACACAAGTTTGCGTTTGATTTAGGTTTTGCAGCAACTAGTCCTGTTTTGGTGTCTTGCTAATCTCACTCACAGGAGTATGTGCAAACTCTTATTTGGAATATATAAGTATATTTGATCCTACGACTGATATATTTGTAGTGCTTTCATGTTGGGTTTATAATAGATAATGGATACAATTGAATTGCTAACATTCCATTTGATCATCAGAACCAAAGAACTATTTGTGTTTGCATCACCTCATTCAGTTTTGGTGTCATTGTTATCTAAGAACGTTATTTTGGATATAAGTATTATCCGGATGTTTGGAAAAGGATCTGTTTTTTTTGTTAGATTTGGGTGTTTCCGCAGTTTTTGTAAATTAGATTGGAACTGGAGAAGGAAAACATATCGATGATTTAATATAAGATCTCTACCAAAAGTTTTGTTCTTTAGCTCAATTGGATTTTGCAGTCTCTTAGGTTACATCAATCAAGTAGTTCTTTTATGAAGATCTGTGATTCGATGATTGTTAACTCTTGTAGGTAATGTATACACATCACATAGATGAGTTATCTTGATTTTCCCATTCCATCGATCGAATTGTATAAATAAACAGTTTCTGTTTGATGGACTATATACTAAAAAACTGGATTTTGGTCATTAATTCAGCTGTTTAGAAGAGTTTTTTTTTAGAAGGTTTTCCATGATTTTCTTTTGATGGGTTTAATAGAAAATGAAACTGGAGTAAGAAAACTATTTGAGATGAAATCGACTTCTTTACAAGCTCCTAAAGCTACTTTAAGATAAGATATTCGTTATCTTCTGCTACTTTGCTTGTGAATATAAAGGTGAGTCTATTATATGTCCATGAAACCAACAGAAGTCTGTGTTCCATTTAGTTTTGTATCAATTAGTCACGAGAGTCTGCAATCTCTTATTTGGAATATACGATTTTTGATCCTACGACTGTTATATTTTGTTGCTTTCCTGTTGGGTTTATAGTAGGTAATGGATACAACTGAATTGTTGACATTCCATTTGATCAGAATCAAAAGTGCTTGCATTCAGTTTAGATATGTGTGCCTCGTTTAGATGTTGTTGTTATCTAAGTGCTTGCATTCTTCTTCAGATATGTGTGCCTCGTGTTAACTAACTGCATCTTTGATATGTGTCTTGGTACAGGTTTGTGAGATATCGATAAAAGCTAAGAAATGGAAGATGTACTTACCGAAAATCCTCCACCTTCAAGATTCTTCCAAGAAGATCTTAACAACTTTGTTCCGCCACTTGAATCCCTTCCATCTCCTTTCATCATATTCTCAAACCCGAAACCCGAACTTCCTTTCCGACCATCTCTACTCATCATAGCCATATCTTCACCTTCCCTCTATGTTTTCCACAATTTACCTTCAAAGACTCTCCTTGGAAGTCTCATCATGCCTGAAGTCCCGTTTTCTGGGAACACCATGGAACCTTCATTAGAAGACAAATCCTGCAACATATATTCCTTGAGTAGTACTGATGACAAAAACTTGATCCTCCTCGTCTCTGTTCAGCTTCCTGTATCTCCTGAACGGTCTAACCTAGTCTCGAGATTTCTCATTGGCCAAGACATTATCCCCGAGCGGGTTATAATCTTGGATTCTATTCAGAGCCGTAACTTCAGAGGTAGGCTCTCACCAGACGAAACATTGGCAGCTAAACTCGAGACATCTGCTGAGAAGAAAGCAATAACTCACACCGGGTTGGTGAATCTGGATTACTTCCCATCAGGGAGTGTAATCGACGGTCTGAGTGCTTCACTTTTGAGCTGGTGCCAGCTAAAGAACATAAGAGGAACATTGGTGATCACATGGCCTGAGTTTGGTCCTTCTGTTATAAGATTTGTCGGAGCTCTGCTGAAGAAAATTGTCCCGAGTTTGGATGTCGCGAGTGTGAACAAAGATCTGGAGAGGAATTCTTCAAGAACTGGTCTTAAAAAGGATACTTGGCTTGACTCTGATCTATATACATGATTCAGAGACAGTCATAGAAGCTTCTCGAAAAGTTGTTTCATGTTTCTATGCTTAGTTGGACAAAACAGAGACCTTGCTTGTGTTCTCATTGCAAAAACAGTTTTGTTTCATGTCAACTCTGTTTCTTAGGTGTGTGTGAGGACTTGTGATTTTTCAAATTTTAGTCTCATCTTTTCTTGGGGATCAATTTGGTTACACACAAATTATTGGGCTAGCAACATAAACAAGGCCCGGACGACAATCTCAACAAGCTTCTACAAACCCGTAACACACGTTTAAAAAAGAAAAAGGAAAAAACCTACAGAAACGTGTTGTACAAGAGAAAGATAATTAGGGAAAGAAGAAGACACAGAGACAATAATCCTTCATCGATGGAAGAGCAGAAGAGCCACGTAAAAGACAAAAGAGGAAGAGAGGCTAATGAAATACCCAACGACGATGTGTTAGAAGAAATTTTGATGAGGCTTCCAGTGAAAACCCTACTTAGATTCCAAATTGTATCTAAACACTGGAGGCATACGATAAAGTCCAAGTCTTTTAGGGAGAGATACATGTTGCATCAGAAAACCAAGGACCCCAAATTTCTCTGTATCTATGAAGGTAAGAACTGGTATGAGCCAAACTTTGCTCTAATGACGATGAGGTTGGAGTGGTCTTCGAGTTGTCTAGTCGAAGAAGAAGTATACCATATTAGTTATGAACACAAAGCGAATTTGGTGGTATTTTCTACAAGTTTGGATGGTCTTTTCTTAATCTATGGCGGTAAGAACTTGAATAGACCAATAATGGTGATAAACCCAGCCAATAGATGGTCTCAAACGCTCCCTCTTGCTAGGATTCAGCTAGAGCATTGTTTAGACAATAACAAGAGAGAGTTCTCTCCACCAGGATTTGGAAAAGATTGCGTCACTGGAATATACAAACTAGTATTGTTACATAACATTAACAACACTTCATCATGCGAGGTTTTCGATTTCGGTGCTAAGCAATGGAGGCAGGTGGTTCCACCACCTCCTCCTAATCATCGAATAAAGCATGAGCATGCACCAACTTTTGCAAACGGATGGCTTTATTGGTTCAGCCAAGATAAGACCATGTTGGTTGCCTTTGATCTTCACATGGAGATATTTAGAGTAGTTCCAAATCCAATTATCGAGGCTTCATCATCATCATCATCATCTGTTGAGATGAGTATGAGAAGCGTAGATGATGACCGTCGTCTTGTGTGGATTTCAGAGATAAATGGAGATGGTATGCAACACGTTTGGAGGCTCACTAACCACAACACAGGAGGGGCATTATTGAAAATGGGCAAGATGTTTTCCTTTGACTTGAACAAGGTTACTTCCACTTGGTTTGATGATGATACTAATGATCCTTCTTCACTCCTCAGACTTGAGGCAATTTCCAAGAATGGTGGTAACAAGGTAATGCTCTCAAAACAGCCCGGTTCCGAAAATCTCCTCCTATTTCAACCCCAAAACCCTACTTCCATTCACAATCGCATCTTTTCTTATTCCCCTGCCCGGCCCAGTGACAGTCTCCTTCTTCCTTATTTCCCAAGTTTAGCCTCTCCCTTGTGAGTTAATTAAGCTTTCTTTAAGTGGAAAGAAAGAAAACTATTTGTACTGAAACTAGACTTCTTTACGAGCTGATCTTAAAGTTATCAAAATTTAAGATATATATGTTTAGATGATTTAGTTTTGCATTGCCCGTTTGATATTTAGTTTTTGCATCAACTAGGTGTCTCTTTAATCTCACTTACAGAAGTTTGCAGTCTTATTAGATGATCTTAAGACTGTTATATATTTTGGTGATTTCCTGCTGGGTTTTATAAGATAATGGATACAATTTCTTTTAACATTTACGGATATCTAATCTTTCAGATCGAATTGAAATGTTTCTAAGAGATTATTTTCCCAGTCCTACTAAAATATGTCTCTATGACACCAAAACTTGTACAAGATATTATAAGATTTTAAAATTTTTTGGTCGCAATGTTCTATAATGAAACGAAATCATTGTCTCCTAAAGCCTTTTCATCGCAAAATTACAAGACCATGAGGTAGGAGTGGTCTTTGACTCGTCTAGTCGAAGAAGAAGAATATTTAACTAGCCATAAACAAAGAGAAGATGATGCTATTTTCCAAGAGTGTCGATGGTCTTTTCTGTTTATATAGTTGTGTGGACATTAAAAAACCAATTATAGTGATAAATCCAGACACATGGTATAAGAAGCTCCCTTTTGCTAGGATTCAGCAAAAGCATTTCTTAGACAACAACAAGGTAGAGTCTCGCCTTGGATTTGTAAAAGACAAGGTCACAGGAACATACAAACTAGTCTGGTTACGTACCAAAACAAAGAAGAAAATAAAAGAGGAAACCTCATGGACATGCGAGGTTTTCGATTTCGGTGCTAAGAATTGGAGGCGGGTGATTCCACCTCCTCCTAATCATGGAATAAAGCACGAGCATGCACCAACTTTTGCAAACGGATGGCTTTATTGGCTCAGCCAAGAAAAGACTAACTTGGTTGCTTTTGATCTTCACATGGAGATGTTTCAGATAGTTCCAAATCCGGTTGTTGAGGTATCATCATTATCATCATCTGTTGATATGTTTATGGAAAGTGTAGATGATGAAAGTGGTCTTGTGTTGATTTCAGAGACATATGGAGATGGTATGCAACATGTTTGGACGCTCACTCACCACAACACAGGAGGGACATTATCGATAATGGACAATATGTTCTCCATTGACTTGAACAAGATTACTTCCACTTGGTTTGATTCTCATTATTCTTCACTCCTCAAACTTATGGCACTTTCCAAAAATACCGGTGACATGATCCTCTCAAGACCCCGCAGTTCCAAAACTCTCCCACTATCTGAACCCCTAAACCCTACTTCCATTCACAATTGCATCTTTCCTTATTCTCCTCATCGTCGCATTGACAGTGCTCTTCTTCCTTATTTCCCAAGTTTTGTCTCCCCCATGTGAATGAACTTCAAGTTTTTAAAGAGGAGAGAAAGAAAAATATTTGTTATGAAAGCCCGCTTAGCTTCTTTACATGCTCTTAAAGCTACTTTAAGTTTGTCAAAAATATGAGATATTTGTTTGATTTTAGTTTTTGCATCAACTAGTCTTACTTAAGTGTCTTCCTAATCTCACTCACAAGAGTTTGCAGTCTCTAGTTTAAAATTTTAAATACTTTGGTCCGGCGACTGTTATATTTTGGTGCTTTCCGGTTGGGTATTGTAGTAGATAATGGACACAATTGAATTGTTGACATTATATTTGATCATAACCAAAAACTTTGTGTTTGCATCACCTAATTCGGTTTAGATACTTTGTTAACCAACTCTCATGGTTGGTGGTGTGATGCTCTCTTGCACCACAAGAAGCTCTCAAGTCTCATCTTTCTTGAAGAAACAGAGGAATCTCTCTTTCTTATTTAAGTAAGGATCGAATAAAAGCGGATCTAACAGATCAATTGTCCGACACTTAGAAAATATGTCTTTCTCACACCAAAACCTGTACAAAATCGTAGCATACAACAAAATACACAAGTTTTTTATATATGTTTTTTACAAACCGAAATCGATATATATATAGATATATTCTCTTGTCATCTTGGACCTGATAACTCCATGGCTTGAACCAGCACAGAGGAATCATCTGTGAGATCTGAATAACGTTCAGAGGAAGAAAACTCATTAGGTTTACTGTAACTTCTATTGGTTTCTGCTCTCTGAGAAGAAGCTTCCCATTTCTCAACGAGACCATCGCCTTCAAGCATTCTCACAACTTCAGACATCTTAGGACGGTGAATCGGAAGATACTGTGTACAAAGCAAAGCCACTTGAACCATTTCTTCCACTTCTATTCGGTCGTAGTTGCTCTTCAAATCCTTGTCTACTATCTGTTCTAGCTTCTTCTCTTGTTGTAGTTTCTTCACCTACAATTAACCCCAAAGAAAAACCCTAGAAGTGAGTATTTTTGACCTAGTTGAAACAACAAGATACAAAATTTTACTCTTTTACTTCTTACCCAATCAAGTATCGCTCCTCTTTGGTTTGCTGCTTTTCCAAATTCAAGAGCCCTCAATCCAGTAATCAATTCAAGAAGAAGAATCCCAAAACCGAACACATCAGTCTTCTCCGAAGATTGTCCTGTTGAGAGATACTCAGGTGCAATGTGACCCACGGTTCCTCTCACGGCGGTTGTCACATGCGACTCCTCATGATCCAAAAGCTTAGCCAACCCGAAATCTCCGACAACCGCTTCACAGTAATGGTCAAGAAGTATGTTTGCAGCTTTAACGTCACGGTGAATGATCTTTGGATCACACTGCTCGTGCAAATACAGTAACCCTCTTCCTGCTCCTAATGCTATTCGCTTCCTTGTGCCCCAATCCAATACCGGTTTAGCTACAAGACCACTCACATGAATCGTAAATCATGTCAATTCATGTAAATAACTCAAAATCAGAGGTGTTTAATTAATTACCTTTGAGACGAGAAGCAACACTGCCATTGGACATGTAAGGATAGACAAGAAGCCGTTCAGAGGAAGTAGTGCAGAAACCGTAAAGGCGGAGGAGATTCCGGTGGACGGCAAGGCTTATCATTTCAAGCTCTGTCTGAAACTGAATCTCTCCACCGCCATTGTTTATATCCTTTAATCTTTTCACCGCGATGATGCTTCCATCATGAAGACAACCTTTATACACATTCCCAAACCCTCCTTTTCCTACCAGATTCTTGCTACTGAAGTTACTCGTTGCGGATTGAAGTTCTTTGAAACTAAACCTCCTTAGATTCCCAAGACATATTTCTTCCTTGTCTTGCTCTGTATAAGATCCAAATTCACAAACACATTAGTCTGGTCTCACATTCAAAAGTTAAGGAAAAGGGATTCGATTTTTCATTGTGGATCTTACCATTAATGTCAAAGAATAATACTTGTTTGTTATGTCTTCTTCTCCACCAAAGAAGAAAACCAAAGCCAATGATCAACAAGCAAAAACAAGTAAGGCTTACACCAAAGACTACCGCGATTTTCCGGTTTTTGGTTCCTCCATCAGATGATTTATCTAACAACAACAACAAGAACCAAAAACCATTTTAGATACATTCTCTAGGATTCAAATATTACATCTTTTCTTTTTTACTTTAAAGGATTGAAATTTTAGATATTACTTACTTTGAGAACTGTTCAAGGTGATTGACATTGGCTTAGGCTGAGTCCCATTACAGTCTTTCTCTGTGCCTGTTGGACAAATCTGAGGATTTCCCATAACACTGCATAACAAGTAAAAAAAATGTTAAATAAAAACTATATAATATAATTAGGGTAACGTATAAAAGTTGACAAATTACAGAGAAACACATTGGAATTTACATTACCCTGTTTCTTTCTCAAAACAGAGTAAAAACAGAGCAGACAAACATTCTTTTTCAGAAATAGACTTACCTAAATGTTTTGGCAAGTGATCTTGGAACTGGTCCACTCAAGTTATTGTACGACAAATCCCTGAAAAATAATTACAAAATATATAAATATATATTTATATAATATATATGCAGAAGGAAATTTAAAAGAAAATAAAAGAAAGAGAACATACAAAAAAGTGAGTTGGGTCATGTTTGCCAATGAGCTAGGAATTGTTCCTGTCAGGCTGTTATTATTAACCCTCCTGCTCCACAATTTTCAACACAAAATAATCTTTCCATAAATAATTTTATAAAAATATTATAGATTATATTAAAAAGGATAAAATCTTATAGATTATATATTTATATTATAGATTATAAATATACAGAAAATATGACAAATTATATAAAAGAAAATATTTGAATAAATGGATAAAATCTTACAAGTATTGAAGATTTGTGGAATGAGAAAGAGTGAATGGGATTTGACCAGTGAAGTTATTGGTAGAGAGATCAAGTGTTTTCAGTTTCATCAATTTCCCAATCTCATGAGGGATATGTCCTGTTATGTAATTGTTCTGCAATAACCTGTATCCAAATAAAATTATTAGAAAACTAAAGTGATTAAGAGATGAAGAAACAATGTTTTGATAACTATAAAACACTTACACAGTTTGAAGATTTGTTAAATTACCAATACTTGATGAAAGAGTTCCTGACAAGCTCTGGCTTGGAGCTCCTCTAAATACACACAAAAGTAAAAACTGTAAACACATGTTTACATATTTATGTGTGTGTGAGTGTGTGTGTGTAAGTGCTTACAGGCTTAAGACAAAACCATCAGGAGAACAAGTGATCATGTTCCAGCTACATGGATCAACTGCTGTGTCATCCCAATTCTGTAGAACTCCATGAGGATCAACCAGAGAGCTTTTGATACCTATTAAGGCAAGAACTAAAGAGGAAACAAAAAAAATGTTTTAGGAAGAAAAAAAAGATAAACTGAGAAAGAAAGAAGTTTTTGTTGATGAATATTACCTTCAAAGTTAACACCTTTGTCTGTGAGTTCTGCAGAAGAAGAAGATAGGAAACAAATGAAGAAGTAGAAGAAGATTGAAGAGAACAAAGCATAACTCTTTTCTACTTTTCTTCTTCCTTGCAACATCTTAGTCTAAATCAAAACTTGTTTTTCTTGCATTCAAACCTTGAGAGTATTAATAATCTCTAAGGTGCAGAGTTTGAGGTGTATTTCTTTTGTATAAGAAATATTCTTTTTTTTTTCAAGTATTTGTTTGGAGGTTATTAGGAAAAAGATGGAACAGAGGATTTTGATTTGGAAGTGTTTGTGACTGATAGTGAAAGAGAGATAGAGAGAAAGGGAAAGATTTGTCTGCCAATTATTATGGTCCTTTAAACTGGAAAAGGCCAGAGAGAAATTCGGGTAATGTTTTCTTCTTCTATTTATTTAGTTTTCAATCATGAGAGAAAAAAACATAATTCTATAAGATTTTATGTTTTTATTGATTAGTCAATAAACTTATCTATGAAATTTTTTAATTTGATTTATAAATTCTCTACAAATATGAGAATAAATCACCTATTTAACAATACAGAACATACAAATTATTGTCTAAAATGCCCTTTTTTAAAAAAAAACTTATGAAAATGCCCTTTTTGAATAGTTTACAGATTTTGCCCTTTTTTAACACTTAAAAATGTACGTATTTATGATTTTTTTTTGCAAAAATACGTACATTATACCAAATACTAAACCCTAAGAACAAATGGAACCGACTAAACCCAAACATAACGAATGAAACGCATGTTAAATTATATTTTTGGAGCCTAAAAAGAACAAAATCCACAAACTATTTAAAAATGGGCAAAATCCATAAATGTCATTATAAAAAAGGGCAAAATCCGTAATTAATTCATTATTTAGAAAAGTCTATATTGTAGTAGTGCTTAAAAATACAAAACTGCCCTACTATTGTCATGCATGGAAATATGATGAAATATTACATATGTACGAACTTTTTCTTTTCTTTTTTTCTTTAAAAGATCATCCCATTGGCCAATTTTAACTAGGGATTTTTCTTTTCCGAAACAAATTATAGACAAACAACTATTTTAGTAAAAACTTAAGATGAGATATTGAAAATGAATAATTACGTTTTTGTGAAATGTTGGATGCTGCATACTACTACTGGACATAGACAATGGTATGAACCAGTGAACTTACCAGCCTTGATCGTTACAATATGATGATTCTACCAAATCGACTATGTACCAAAAACTAAAAAATCAATCTATATGTTTCTTACTCGTTAGACTTTTTTTAAGTAATGTAGCTGGATTCGAAGCCCTGGTTCTGTTCTACGGTCTAGAGGATTAATAGACTAAACCTGTTCTTGGATGTAGGACGGCAACAAACGATACAATGAATACTTTGGGATAGAAAAACAAAAATTATAATCGTAAAAATAATCAATTAGATAAGCTTTTATCTAAAACAATAGTATATATAAGAATAAATTAGAGCAGGTGAAAAGTGAATTCATATGGTAAGCACCATTAATCTGTATAAAATATATATATATTCCAGGAAGAATAATTAAGTAGCCTCGAACAAATAAAAAGTGTGAAATTATTTTGATGTAACGCAAAGTTAAATAACCTGTGAATTATACTAGTGGGACACTTGTTGGGCCGATTAGAGATACTGTGAGTCTGTGACTTAAGACTTTTCTTTTTCTTTTTTAATGACTCGCTTTAACTCTGTTTTTATTCCCACTCAACACCGTTAATATTTATTTATATCTTCGTAATTATTCACTAATTGTATTAAGAATTTATTTTTTTGTATCTCTCTAAAGTATTCTCCTAATTCATTCTAAAGTATTTTTTGTCAACTCTTTTTATAATTTGAAATAAAAATATCTTGTATCTATGTTGTTTGTTGATAACATAGCAACATACCATGTGCTTTCGCCAAATGGATGGGTTTTTTTTTCGTCATGTCAAATGGATATTTTAAACGGTGGAATATTAGAGGGTAAAATTAAGAAATTAATAAGACGGAAAAAATATGATCGAAATGAAGTTAAAATGAGAACACTACAAAACTCGAGATTCCAAAAGAAGAATCAATGATTGACAGCTTAACAATTGGTCTAAAATAAAAGAGAAATATTAGAGAAAGCTAAACTTTGACAAAAAAGTAACCTCATGTAATACATAATAGTTATAGTTAACTAACAAGATATGAAAATGTGATTAAGAAATTACTAATGATGCGACTTAATGTTATAAAATAGTGATTTTCCCCCATTTTGTATTTCATTTAACATTTATGGAAATTAGATTTTTATCTGAACATCTAATTTTTTACGTAGTATTAAAAAAATATAAATCATAATTAGAAATCTTATACGCTAATTTTTATTTAATAAACTAGAGCCTACATAAAAATAACATGTTGCTAAAACTTAAATATCACGTTATTCTTTTTTGTTAAAAAAATTATCACGTTCTTCATTATAATTTTCTATAAATAAAATTTATTATGATACTGAAAAAATAATACTATCAAACTTCTTTGGTTACTAAATTGGTTTCTTTCAGTTAATGTAACACTCCAATCGGATGTGTACGTGTACTTCCTTTTACTACTGCACAATGAAAAACTGAAGTTGATCCAGGAAAAAAAAAGAATAGTAAAAATGATTGATTAAGAAATTATTGGGGCGAGCAATTATTCCAAGTACTCCAGCAACGATTAGTTAATCAGATTAAAAGAAAAAATCTAAGCTTAAATTATTTAGATCACATTTGTCCAAAAAAAAAAAAAAAAAAATTATTTAGATCACACAAAAATCAAATCTTTGTCTACACAGTGATTAGTCAACAGACAAGCCACTTTTGAAACCACGAAAGCAAACTGCTTTATAAAGCAAAAGCTGTTCTCCTCTATCTTTCATCATTACTCTAATTTCTTAGTGCATTTCACTGATTTCATATACAATTTATTTTGGGTTATTTCGGGATAATGTTTGCAAAAAAAAAAAACTAAAAAGATGAATATATAATATATCATGATTTGTATGTCGTGTGCATGGATACACGTGTGATACTTTTCTCTTTGTTTTAACATTACAAAACGCTCATTTCTTCTTCATCATCATCAATTTCTTTGACCATGTCTCATGAACTTGCAACCGCATCGTAACTTTTGGGTGGGAGAAATCAATCTTGTACTTGATATTAGTTTGAGTTTTGTTTTGGTATCTCTGACAGTTGAAAATCAATAGAGACTGATTGATATTAGCCATGATTAGTTGATTATTTTGTTGTAGTTATCTGGTCTTTCCAAATGTTAGTTTATGGTGAACACTTCCATCATAAGAGTTTATTGCAAATTTGTTTATATATTTGCTTAGTCGAAGCCGCGTCGTGTTTTAGGTCCATTAGAAAATCTGGTGAGTCACTATGAGAAATTAGTTGGGTGTTAAAAATCCAGATCAACCCTTCGTTATCAAAACAAAAAAAAAAATACAAAAACAAACAGGCCGATATATAATAATTTTCAAACAGTAACTATTTTTTCAAGACTTAGAATAAACAAAATCTATCGAATAAACTATATTAGTCCATGAAATAAATGTTCGATTTTAGGTTAAGCCGTTTAATGTTTTTTATCTTTCTTAATCTCTCTCTTGATATAGTTTAATTATTATACACATGAAATGGACTTATAGGCATCAAATATATGCATAAGAATGATACCAACGGAAAAAAATCTACATTAAAAACAGCTTGCGGAACATATATAGCCACTCATAAAAAAACTATCAATAAATAATGTTTTTTCTTACATGAAAATGGTTAATAGTATATAAATTATGATATTGATTGTGTCATGTCATCTTATGTGTGACCTAATTTTCCCTCCAATTTAGAAGAAGTCTTTATGGTTTGTTTCATCTTAGCATAATCAGAAGGGGAAGATACATTCTACTTAAAGTTATAAACCCGCAAATGAGTGGGAAATAATTATATAATGTGGACTCATCCCTTACAATTTATTTTCTATAAATTTTGTAATCTTCTTATAACCAGTGTTTTTTCTTCGAAAAAAATAGATCATAATATTTTTTCTTAAGATTTGATTCATGACATTGTAAAAGACGTTGAGATGTTGTTTCAATTGTAATCTAGTTCTTGGATATGTCTGGCTTTTAATTATATAAACAAACTAAAAAAAATCAATTACCTTACAAATATAAACGATTGATTTTTTCGTACGTTCATTGAGAGAGATGTAAAAAGTAAAACCCCACCTCTTGTCTTTTCAATCATATATGTTCTTCACTTGTTATTCATTTCATTACCCTCACTTTTTTTGTTACCCTACCCTTATGTGCATAATGCATAAGCATAATGATATAATCCATGAACCGGAGCATGTAGCTGTTGGGATCCACTGGTCAGAGCTTGCATTACCGAAGCAAGATCTAGCTTCCTCGAGAATTAGCGTTCACTTCCCAAAAAGACTCATTATAGATCATATGAGATATTCTCTAGCAATAAAAAGAAGTATTACACATTTTCTCAAGTGAAAAATAAGCCGCTAATCGGTAACATGAAGCTAGAAGACCAAAACTTGAATGAACTAAGCACCACCGCATTGGTAAGTTAAAGTCGTCAGGTATTATGATATGTAAGGAGAACTCTTAAATATCTTATTAGCAGAAACCATTGAGAGACCAAACCAAGAATTTTTAATGTCGATCCTAGCCTAGACAGTTGAGTGAGTACTAATCCTACATATTGTAGCTGGATTTGTTAGAGTTTTGGTATATGCCTAAGCAATAAGTGTCGTCCAAGTTATGAACATGTATCTTTTTTTCATGGGGTCGCCTTCTATTATTCTAGTTTTGGTTCCATATTGCCTCAATTGTGACCACAAGAGAAGAAGAAAAAAAACAAATTAAATAAAGAAAAGGTAGAATAAGTTCTTCTCTAAAAGTTGGATGCACGAAATCAATTAGGACAACTCACACCTTAACTTATTTTTCTTTACATAGTGCCTATATGATGGCTACATACTTTAGACTATTAATAGTGCTTGTTTAATATTCCTATTATTGTTACTTGACTTACTACTCAACTTGATTTAAATATATGGTTACTGTTTAGTATAACAATAACTAATACTTATGAGTTTAGGATTCTAAGAAAATTAGAAGATGGAAGAACACTTTGAGATTTTGTAATAGCATATCACTCGCATAAGTTTTCAAATTACATCCATAATGTATCGTGCAATTAATATTAAAATTTGTTTAAGACTAAAATAAATAAATAAAAAAAGTTACTGCCATAAAATAATGTTAATGAAACATTGAAATTCACTTGATATAAATGTAGAAACATGATAAATGGAGAAACAAAAGACAAAGTTTGTTTCACATCAAAAACAGAACAAACCAAATTACATTTTATTATTATCGACATTAAAGTTGGCCCCCATAAAGGATCCTTCAGGTTAATATAAATGAAACTGTTACATGCATCAAATATTTTCAGCGTCATATATATCATTGATAAAAGTTGTCTGGCTAAAACTAATTCGACATTACTTTAGTATGATTGTATTACTCATCAAAAAGGTCATTTTCTTAGACTTTGTGTATACATCATTGTCTAATACATGTTCTTTTTTTTTTTTTTTTAATAGTATTGCATGTTTCTTTTTTTGACATCGTACTATTACATGTTCATTGCCTATAATTTTCGCAAATCGTTAATTACATTTTGAATCTTATGAGACCAAATATATATCTAAAGCACTACCAAACTATTGGTAATAATATCAAAATTAACATAGAAGATTCAAAAAGTTATGCGCACACAAGACTAAAAGATCTTCAAAGCTTATACACACCACAAAGAAGAGAACATATATAAAATCTTTCTGGTGTAGTAAACCAGAGAACAGAACAATTACAAACTTCAAAAACACAAACAAGAACTGCTTTCATCAGAACATAACATGTTCTCTCTTATTCGAAAACAAAACACAAAAGAACCTTTAAAAAAAAGAGCATCATTCTTCTTCTTTAACCACTTCGTCCTCTTTACAACAGAACCCAAGAGTAGATATTGGTGAGCAACATTCAACAGATTTGACATATTTCTAGTAGACAACCGAACCTCCAAGTCCAAGCTCCTCTAGTCCTCTCTCTTGGCTCAAGTATCCCTTCACATCAACTATACAATCACACGCCAATAGCTCGGTTCCAAGATTAGCATGCACCGCTACAGAGAATTCTTCTGGTTCAAAACAAACCAGAACCCTATCCACCAACTCCTTAAAGATCAAAGGTCAAAGCCTTTAGATCATACCCAACTGTTTCAAAGCTTGCATAGCTAAATCCGTCTTCCGGAGTCACATGGATGGTTGAAACTGCATCTCCTTCAACTGAATTCATCGAGTAACCGCAAGGATCAAAGTTAAAATCACAGATTTCAGAGGCTGGAAGGATGTTTCTAATCCCTGAGCTAATAGTCATATCAGAAGCTGAAACCGAATTGGTTTTAAAGAACACCGAAGCTTTTTTCTTGTCTAAACCAGTCATGCACATCTCCAATGTTTACACGGGTTTGTCACAAGCCACATCAGATTCATAAGCAGAACAAGTAGAGTAGACATGCCATCTCTGAGGGTTATTATCTGACCCTCCCATGACAAAAGCTTTGCTTCCTGCATTGAGCTTACCAAAATAGCCATCAAGTAAAGCAACTTCCTCTGAGAAGCTACGGTGAGGGTAAGATTGAGCTCCCGGGAAAATGAAGCTACCACGAGTGTAGCGGACAGATTTGACAGTAAGGCAAAGTGAATCAGCCAGACTAAGGATATGCGGGATCGAAAAGAGAAGTTTCGTAGTCCCGCATGTTTTGATGATGATCTTGTAAGGATAGACAAAGAGGCTAGATTCAGAGAGCACGTAAGAGTCGACCAAAGAGTTTGAGAGAGAGGAAACAATTGTGCACTCTGCTGGAGTCAAGATCTCATCTAAATGGGATTTAGTAAGAGCACGAAGACCATTTCCTTTGGGATCAAGAAAGACACTAGGCTCAAAGAATGAAATTTCGAGCCTTTTCTCAAATCCTTCGAAACCAATAGCAGAGACCGCCATTTTCCAAAAGACGAATACAAAGAGGAAGAAGAGGCCGTCAAAAAATGAGTTTTGAAGGAGAACAAAACAAGAAAGAACGAAGATTTATCGCGAACGTTGATCAACCACAGTTAGTAAGTGGTTAGGAGGAAAACGTATTGAAGAAAATCAGGATGGTTTGCGAGTGATCTACATAAAAAAAATCAAACAAACATGAGTTAACAACATGTATAAGAAGAGAATCAACAACATTGCTTTAAGACAAGACTTGGAAAACAGTAGCTAAACTCACGTTTGAGTAAGCAGCAGATCTGAATTTCTTGATTCCACCGTTAGGTCTAACGTCTTCAATGATGTATCCAAGAGGAGCTTCGTAGAAAAGACTGTTACTACTACTACTACTACTATTACTAGACTTCTTTTTACCACCTTTAGTCTCCATTTCTCATTCACCTGTCGATGAATCATATAAGAAAGACAGAGCAATTAAAAACCAAAACTCTGTTCCAATGTAAGGGCAGCCAAACTCAGATACAAGTAAGCTATTGATAGAAACCATCTCAAAGGCCTCAAATCTCTCATACACAACTAAGATAGATCAAGATTACTGAAAAATCTGGAATTATGGATCTAAATCATTGAAAAGTTTGTGAGTGTAATCCAAAACACAGAGGACAAACTGAATCATCAAAAGGATCTTACTTGTTGTTATGGGTCATCAAATTCCAACAAAAACCCTAATAAAAATCTGAATCGAACCCTAACGATAATCAAAGCATAAAGGTGGAACCTTTAGAATTACTTGAACAAACCCTAAACTCATAAAAGGCGATTCATTGAAGAAAGATTACTTACAAGTCAAGAAAAGGATTCTTTAAGTTAACGAACCAACCAATCTGATTAAACCCTCGAGAGCCAAAAACCTGTAAATAAAAAACAAACGCATAAGTATCGAACTCAAGAGAATGATCAAAGAACATTTTCAATACCCAGAACCAGAAATCAAAGAAATAATAAACAAAGATTTACCCTAATAGGATTGAAACAGGACAACAAGAATTGATTCGATGAGGAAAAAACAAAGGAAATTTATCTTTCAAAGTTTGAGTGTCTATGAAAAACAGACCAAAGGAGTTTTGATTTTATAGTCTGCGGCTAGTGGATTGGTAATTACATATTTGCCCCTTTTTTATTTTATTTTGGTAATTATTTGCCCCTTGTTAAGACGAAGATGGCAATTATTTCAATTTAATGTAATGTAATTTTTTTTTTTTTCGTCTAGATTTATTATTAATTGCAAATTATGAGAACTGTTATATAGACGATTCTACAACTGACAATTCCTTCCGACCCTGATTAGATCTACGACAGACTACACTTCCTTCTTCATAATCTTGATGAATACCTTCAATGATCCACGACCTGGCGACACTTCATTTTCTGCGTAAAATTCTGGCGAACACACTTGCCTCTATTAATCTGCAAATTTGTTAATAAATCGCAATATCTAGGACTCGAACCTCAAACCTCTTGGTGTAGAAGCATTAAATCAACCCTTGGTCAACCAATGGGCCAAGGGGGCTTCCACAATGTAATCTATATAAACGTTATTTAATTATTATTTTTTAATTAAAATATTAATAATTGGGCCAAAACCCTATAAACGTTATAAGTTATAACGTAATCTATGGGCCTGATTGGTAACAGCTGTAGCTTTACATTTTTTGCTGTAGAAATATGACTGTATGTTTATTTGTTGTGGCTGTAGATTTTCTTGCTGTAGTATTTTGTTTGTAGAATTTAAAATTTTGGAAAGTTGAAAATTATTTGCTTTAGGAAAAAAGGTTTTCTACAGCCAAAAAAATGAATTAAAGAAATATTTTGGCTGTGAGAAAAAAAAAAAGGAAAGCCAAAGCTTCTAAAGCTTGATTGGATGTATTTCAAATCTTTAGAAATTTTTTTGCTTTGTAAAGACTCTAAAGCACTTGCCAATAAGGCCCTATATAAACGTTACATGGCCAAAGTAAGGATATTCACATTACTATTCACAAGTTAAGATAACGTCAGTGTTTAAATTGCTTACAACATTGTTGTTGACAGAAAATGAAAATGTTGTTAGAATATATCCAAAAGAACCAACTTTATTTGTGGATGCATCCAAAAACAACTTTCGGTTTGTCCAAATTCCACAAATAAAAATGCGATTAGCATATATTCCCTGGTAAAAGCTTTTAAACATCTATGCACTAGATTAAGACCAACGTCATATAGGATATGAAAACACATTACAAATTGTTAATGTAAACATTTAAATTCTAGTTACTGTTAGTAAATATGCAGATTGGTGGAATTATTATGCAATTTCGCATCATATACTATTAATAAACAAAACTTTTGATATCTAATATAAATATAATATATATTTGTAAAACAATATAGGAATACGAAGCAAATCTCAAAGATATCAACATGATGGGTTCAGTTGATAACCCCAAACTAAAGAAATGAATAAAAAAGATTTTGATTCTTCAAAATGTACACATAATAATAGAAATTGAATTTTAGCGAGAAAATGTTTAAGATTTATTTTTAGTTATTGTGGAGAGAAGACTAAATTATATTATTATGTATAAATTTATATTTCTTTGTCTTTTACTTATAATAATAATTTATTTATATTTAACTTAAATATTTTTAATCATAAATAACAATAACTAAAAATAAATATGTATTGAATGAACATTTTAAATAAATTATATTTTAAATTTGTAATTAAATGCATGCTTAGGTGGATGATGATGTGGATAGCCTAGATGGAGAGAAGACTCTCCTATTATATATATAGCTAAATAGTATCGTGTATAATAATTTAAAACAAAACTAAAATATAATTATGTATACTTTTAATATTTTAGCTTTTTATAAATATAATATAAAATTTTATATAAGTAAATGTATAAATGCATTTGATAGTAATACAAATATTATGCACTTATTAAAAATATAAAAGTTTATTTTAAAAATATCAAAAAGAGGTAGAAAGAGCACAATTGCAACATTGAATTTAATAAGATAGAAACAAAAAAAAAAAGTAAAAAGAAAAATAATAGTGACAAAATTAGTCTCAGAAAGCTAAATTCCTAAAGAAAAAGCAAATATATATATAAGTATTTTTTTTTTCTTCTAAATACAATAGATATAAATTAGAAAAAATAAACCACATTTAAAATATCACATTTGAGTTTCTAGAATTATAAAAAAAATGTTATTCATAAGAATTCATGCACTGAAAGAGAATATATATATAATGAACGGTCATAGGATACTAAGTCAAATACAAAAAAAAAAGTTTAATATATGTATATTATAAATAGACGTGTACATCTATAAATTATCATTTATAACATTTATATTATATTTATATAACCGTTTTTTACCAATAGAATTATATATATATATTTTAAATAGTATTCGAATAAATTTTTTTAAAAATAATGTAATTTACAAAACTATAAAAAAATTGAATATATATTATTAAACCCACGCAACGCGTGGGTCCATTTCTAGTATATACAGTTTATGACGATTGAGATTACTAATCATCATAGTAAATTTTTGAATGTCAATTTTAGAACAAATTTTGTGCAAGCGAGTTTTATTTGTTATTGTCTTTTCCTGCAAATGTCTAGGGTTAGGGTCCAAATACAACACAATTAATGGTCTTTTTTCTTTTTCTTTTGTTTAAGTATTCATTTCTCAATACCAAACTCTTTGGCTCTATAAGGAGAGGTGTAGTCTTTCGAGATCTGCTGATTGCACAACCTATTGCTGTGTCAATCACAGTGATATTGTTTCCGCTCACCAAACGTCATCATGTTTATGTTCACACATTCGAAGTAAATTTGTATATTACATGACAAAGTTCAGATGTAGTTTCTCTGCAAGTTCTTATGCTTGCCAACGATTTCTTACACAACGTAGTTCAAAATGTTCTTATCTTTAGAGGCGAGATCAATCTACAATCTACAAGTTCTGAAGTAACTCTAGGGAGTTTGCTGAAATATGTGACCTCTGTTCTGTTCAAGTGCAGCAAGCCAAATGATGAGAAGCATTTTGCGGATGCCATTAAGCACACCTCTCACGCCTCGCAGATGGACTTTATGTCGATTTAAATTTCACTGAGTTAGCTTTGTTGTTAATATGTCTCCCCTTATAATACATACATAGAAATACCCCATAATAACTTAAAATGTTTACTTGATTTCAGGATTTATGATATCGAATATACAAGTAAGCTAGCTGCATTTGATGTACTTAAAATTCCATTGTGCCATGGATGGCTAGTGTTATTAGTTATTCAAAAATATTTGTTTATTTTTTGTTTATCATTTACGTTAACTTGTTAGATTCTTCCTATACATTTTATTCCTCTTTATTCCTATTTTTTTTTTTTTATTCAATGTTTCAAATTTCTTTTTGTAGATTCTCATCTTCACCAATTGAATCCGATAAGAAATCTCAACTTCAGCCCAAACTATAAGGAAAGAGGCCCATTGGTTAAATAAAGCCCAGTTCAGAACAGTAGCTCAACAAAACAAACACGACGTGATTGAAAAGCATGTATAGTCCGGTGCGTGGAAGACAAGAAAAGCAAAAATTCTGTTTAGCCGACAAGACAAGTGTCAAATTATCATTCGATAATGTGACTATGTTAGCTCCAAGTTTAGTTAGGGTTTTGTATAAATACGCAGTGAATTCGTTCATTGTTAAAAATTGTGAGAAAATATTGAATCAAGAAAACTGCTTCTTATCGGATCTCTCTTTCTTTCTCAGTCATGATGAAACAATATTTGTTTAAGATCACCGACCTCTCCCGTAACCATTGGTTTTGCTCTTGCTTCAGCGGCCGTTGTAGCTGTGGTTCAGCAGCGGGAATTTCTCATGGATATAGCCACGATGAAGAAGGAGAATAAGGCGGAGAAGAAGAACTTGAAGGAGGAGGATAAAGCTGAGAAGGTGAACTTCAAGGAGGAAGAGGCGGCGGAGAAGCCGGCGGCGAACTTGAAGGAGAACGCCGAGTAGACGAGTTTAGTTTAGTAGTTTTTTAATCGTTTGTTCAACGTCGGCAGCTAATGATGTTTAGTTTCTTTTACTTAATTTTGTTTTTAAAATTTATTTTTAGTGTTAAGCATTGAAGAACTGATGACTACCTAAATCCAATAGTTTGCAATAAATTTGTTTAACCCAACCCTCATCTTATATTTTACTTTCTTCCCGAATTAATTAGGGATATGTTGTAATTTAGTACGTTTCCAAACTTAATAGGAAAATTAGTACAGACACTATTCACAATTGGGAAAAATGTCGTTAAAATCCCAAACTTATTCGACGTTAAGTGGGTTAATAAATCCTCAACTCATAACAAAACGAAATAAATATCAAACTTATGTTGACTTTCCAAATAAATATCAAACTTATGTTGACTTTCCAAATAAATATCAAATTTCCGTTGACCTAGCCATATTAGGTACGACGTTAAGTGGGTTAATAGATCTCGTTAACGGAGGTAATTTTCTGTTAACATATGTGTTAATTGATAACGACATTGTTTCATATAACAACAAAACGACGTCGTTTTGTCGTAACGATTGAATTAAATCCCTAAAGTCAATCTTAGATCCCCAAATCGAGCAAAATCCCTAACCCTAAATAGAGTATGATTTGAAACTCGGGATTTTATTGAACAGTTATGACAAAACGTCGTTTTGTGTTTAGAAGGAATACTTGTTAGTATTTTGATCAACACTAACAGGTGTTAACATTGTTTGTTAACTCACTTAACGTCATGCCTAATATGGCCAAGTCAATGAAAGTTTGGTATTTATTTGGAAAGTCAACATAAGTTTAATATTTATTTGGAAAGTCAACATAAGTTTGATATTTATTTTGTTTCGTCTTGAGTTGAGGATTTAAATCAACGTTTTGAATAAGTTGGGGATTTTAATGACATTTTTCCCATTCACAATTAGAAAAATCTCCACGTTTTACTGTGTTCTCCTGTTTTGAAGACATTGTAACCCTCAAATATTTGTTATATTTATCACAATGCCATCGTCATACTTTACACATTAAAAATAAAAAAAAAAAGTTAAAAGACAAGTTGCAGAGAGAGAGAGAGGTGGAGGAAGAAGACGATCTTCGACCCTTTAAGAGATCAGAAGATAGAGAATTTCCAAACAGAAATGATTTGTCTGCTTCTGTAACTTTCTCTACCATTATTGCTGCTGAAATATCAGAGAGATTCTTTGTGGAGAGAAGACCGAAGAAAAGTTTTTTATTAACCGATTAAAAACGCGTAAACGATAACCAATAACGAACAATTGAAGAATTATAAATTTCTGGGGATTTAGCTTTTGATTCCTAAAAAGGTTGATGAAGCAAGTACGAATCACAACAGAACAGTTGTTTCATTATTTTGCAAAGATTGGGTTTGGTGGAATTTTTTTTATTTTTTTATTATCAAAATCACCTCATCAGATGATGATAGAGCTGTTTTAAGCATAAACTTTTTTTTTAATTATATAAAAATGTGAATAATCAATGAATATAACAGAAAAAAATCAAAGAGATCTTTGTGAATGTAGAAGCATTTATGACCGTGCGAAAATTCCTTGTTTATCTTTTTGGGATTTATAAACTAAAGAAAAGTCTTTGATTTTTTATTTGGATGGCACGAAATCTAAAGCCTAAATGTCTTGTTTTGAATATTCAATTTGTGATGGCATTTGGTAAATGTCATGCCTTCTTTTTTTTTTTTTTTTTCCGTTGAACATCTGAAATTTTTTATAATTTTGATGAACATAATATAAAAATCATGGAACAACAAAATGGTAAGACAAATAAGAGGATATACATAGATTTATGTAGTCTTACGTTGTCGAGATGCCCCATTTTGGCCAGAGTAATCGGCCACTTGATTACAATGGAATGTTATTGAACTGAGTTCCGGCACAAAATGGCTTCCCCATTTATGGATGTCTACTATATTCTTGCTTTTCTTACGAGTTACGAGTAAAAGTTTCGATTTAGTGACTTTTCTTGTAAATTTGTTTCGGTCGTTTCGATTCTTCTGAAAATTAGTTACATTTTTAGTAGTTGTGCTTCCCAAGTCAATGTTTTGAATGAAGCGTTCTTTTTAAATAAGTGGATAGTATTTTGTTTCTTCGAATCTTTTTTAAGTTATCGTGAGTCATGTTGGTGTCGGATCCCGCACCAGTAGTCCGAGACCAACCAAAGATTGCCACGTAGTCAAGACGAAGGCCCACAAGGGATAAGGCCCATTGGATCCGTAAGTTAAGGGTGCGGTCGAGGTGGTGACACCACAAAGAGAGTTCGAAGTGATTGCACCTCGATACGAGTCCGGAGTCGAAGTCACAGTTAAGTCGGTTCAAGGTTATTTAGGCTGAGAGGCGAGGCCCATGAAGGTCGGAATCAATTCAAATTCGAACGTTGAGCATTAAATGCGGAGACCGAAATGGACACATTTAAGAGAGAATAATTGTACTTAATTAGCCACTTAAATGTCGCTTTTCTAGGTATAAATATAAGGGTCAATGGCCATGTAAGGGCCAAGGATGGTTGAAAATTTTCTGAGATTGTGTATCCTTCTGTACAGTAGTTTATATCTGTACAGTCATTCTTCTGTACAGTACAAACTGACTAAGTCTTCTGTACAGTCTAAGGTCTTAGTTTATATCTATACATTCAAAGCGACACTGCATCATTCTTTTTTGGTCTTCCTATGTTCTTGTCCTGTCTTTCAAATGGGTAACATTATCATAAATAGCAATTTGCTTCAAAATATATACTTGTAAATTAATTCATTGCGTTTATCAAATATGATGGTTTTTATAAATACAGTGGTCTATATATGTATCTGTACAGTGGTATTCTGTACAGTAGTCTTCTGTACAGTGGTATATTTTTGTACATACATTCTTCTGTACAGATGCATCCTTTTGTACATACATTCTTCTGTACAGATGTAGACCACTGTACAGATATACGCCACTGTACAGAAGAATATCTGTACAGCAGAATATATGTACAGAAGGATGCATCTGTATAGTGATTTATATCTGTATATATATTATTTGTACAGTGTTCGGTAATATAAATTTTAAATTTTATAAAACAAAATGCATATCAAATGATAGAAAAAAAAACATAGATTTTTATGTATATGATCAATTTTAGAAAAATAAAATTTACGAACGAACATTTTAGTTATTAAACTTTGAGGAAATGAAATATAATAAAGAAAGAAAAAGGAATTAAAAAAAAAAAACATGACCCACTAAAAAACTTTTACGTCTCACGCACTCTATCTCACACTCTCTCTCTTAGTCTCTCTTCTCTCACACTCTCTCTCTTTCTCAATTATAAATAGTAACCGTACTAGTTCTATAATTAAGTTTGGGAAACGTACTAGTTTCCCAACTCACCCAATTAATTATCACTAGAATATGGAATTTTTTATGGTAACAGGTTTTTTTGGCCTTGACATTTATCCTCTATGTTTCATAATAAAAAATCTTGTAACTAAATGTAGAGATTTTTGTTTTTCTACATTAAAACAGAATTTCATATATATAATTAAAGATAATTTTGTCAATAATAAAATATACGGCAGAATAGATTTTAGTCAATCTATTTTTTTGTACACAAATTTGAAGAACATCTTTCTGAAAAATATATTTCTAAAACATTTTATATAGTAAAAAAATCAAAACTCTAAAACATCTTATTGTTTGAAACTGATTGTATTTTTTTTTTCCACAACAAAAGCATGGAAAAGAGGTTTTGTCCATGTTCAACCTCATCCAAGTCGGACATATATTAACTTAATTGTATTCAGAAACTTGAAAAAAAAAACACAGACACAGAGAGCAAAGCAAACCCACATAACAGTCTAAACGCACAAAATAACCTTAAGTGTTATTATTTGATACATACGTTTTCAATCTTGTCGATAGTCTGGGAAGAGGCCTAACTCTATCGCCTTCCTCCCGATAAAGCCCCCCAGTGGTGGACCAGTCATAGGACCCCGGAAAGGGACGATATTACCTGCTTCATACAAACTTATGAAGCTTGGGCGAGGTATAAAACGCTCCTCAGTTGCTTCTCCAATGGAAAACCCATACCCACCCAGGAGAGTCATGCATCCAGTAAGCTCATTGATGGCTCTTCTAATGATAACTTTGCGAACAACATGCTCACCAAGCTCACCAACACGAGACATGGCCAAGCCCTTAAACGTTATGTAGACATTAGCAGCTGCGGCTTGGAGTGTGGCATTTCCTTGAATACCTTCTATTAAAACGTTGACAATCTGCAACTGGGACAGATCGCTAACTTCAAGGTTCCTATCGTTTGTACAAAGTGCAAGTTCCAAATTTAGACGAATCCAATCATTGTCTTGCAACTCTGATTCCTTGACCTCGTAAAATCGTTGAGTATCATTGAAATCTGACGGCCAACAAGGCAATTGGGCATCATCCACCACCACCAGTTCAGTATTAGGAAGTTGGACCGGCTCACTAGGGGTACCTAGAGGCCTAGCAATAAAGCACGTCAAACTCAAACTGCGACCGGGCTTACGACATCCTTCAGCAACTCCAAGCTCAAGGGTCACGGGGCTAGTTGCTGGATCGCAAGCAGCCAAAGTTATGAAGTAAATGGCCTGACAAATCATTGTAAGGCTGACTTTCTTTAGGTGGTGGAACTGCAAATTTGTCGCATTGCACATATTGTAACGATGAAGCCCGAATCTAGCATAACGCTCGACCAAGACCGGATAAGGATATCTAACATCCTCGCGTTCACAGTCGTACGACATCAATCCAGTTGTACCACGTGGTACTGAGATACCTTCCAAATTGAAACCCCCGGATTCTCTCACTTGACGCCAATACTCCATCTGCCCACCGGTAAACGGAGTCCAAACCGACATCTTCTCCGATCGATTTGTGGATGCTTTTTTTCTTCCTTCTCTCGATTTAGGTTTATGGCGATGAAACTGATTGTATTAAATTGAGGGATTTGGCTGCATTGTAACAAAAAAATATCAGTTTTAATATTATTAACAAATATATCAGTTTAAAAAAATGAAAACAAATATGAAAAAAATGTAAAATTTATATTGAAGACATTTTTTTAGATAATTCTGAAACCTTTGTTACAACAATAAATCTGAAGTAAATTTCAAGGCATTTGTTACTTATTCAAAATTCACCTTTCTCTGGTCAAGGTTACAGAATACATATACTTTTTGCAGTCCAATAGAAACTTAATTAGAATATCAGCTTCCAGCACTAATAGCTGTTTGAAGCAAAGCCTCTATCATAGACCGAAGGGTCTAATTGAAAAAGACCACTTTAAGAAAAAATAGGAAAATGTAGTAATCAATCCAATAAAGTGGTGTTTTCCAATTTTAATTAGTATAATATAATTTTAAAGCACGTATTTTTTTTGTTTGACAACCAAGTACTTTTTTGACAAGTATTATTAATATGCTAAAACTGGACCAAACGTTATAATAAAATAAAAGTAAAAAAAAAACAGTTCCTCAATTTTTTAGTAAAATTACCATTCAAGAAAGTGTAAGCTCCAAGTTAAGTTAGGGTTTTTGAGTAACGTCCAAGTTTTAAGACTTGGTATAAAAACATAGTTTCGTTCATTGTTAAAAACTCAAGAGCAAATATTATTGACTCAAGACAAGTTTTTTTCATTAACTATTCTTTTATCGAATCTCTCTTTTCTCTCTCAATCATCATGATGAAACAGTATTTGTCCAAGGTCACCGAGTTCTTTAAGGCTCCTATGACCAACGGTATGGCTCTTGGTTCAGCGGCCGTCGCAGTTATGGCAAGTAAGCGAGACCTTCTCATGGATCACTTAGCCACGAAGAAGAAGGAGTACTTGAAGGAGGAGAAGTCGGCGACGGGCTTGAAGGAGAACGTGGTGGAGGCGGCTAAGATGGAGTCGGCGACGGACGTCAAGGAGAACGCAGAATAGAGGACTAGCGTTAATGAGTTTTAATTTGATGTTTTCTAGTTTGATCAGTTTTGTGTTTTTTTTAATCGTTCTTTTAAGTTTTAACATCGCTGGCTAATGATGTTTAGAGTCAAAACTTGATAATAACTAATACTGTTTCTATATCTCAACCATTATCTTCTATTTAGTTTCTTCCAGAATTATATATCACTAGAATACGGAAATTTGTGTTCTTTTTATTCTAAAATTAATTGAGACAAACGAACAAAGTGTTAACGATTACACAATAAAATTAAAAGTAAAAATTAAAGGATCATCTATTGAGAGATATTTGAAAAAAAAAAAATTAGGGTTTCAATACTCGTCAATTGATTTTGTTAATCTATTTAACATTTGATTTGATTATAATACAAAAAGTTAAACTTGTACTTTGAATTACAACAAGAACAATGAAGAAATGAAGAAAGAAGATGAAGAGAAATCCTCAAGAGAAACCGAATGGATACGGCTAGATAAAACCGGTTCTAAATGAACCGGACCTTAACGGTTATCCAATTAAAGAGACTTTACTTGAAGCCTTCGACAGCTGAGACTCTGTCTCACACAGAGTCTTTTAACATATTTTGAAATTCGAATTTATTTTTAAAATTATAAGAAAAGAATAAAATTAACCTAAAAAAAAACGAAAGAGAGATCTATCTTTTTGCTTCTTCTCATCGTCGTCATCACCATCATCATCAACAATTCGAATCTGAAATCTGCAATTCACGAGAAGAAGTTTTTGTAACAATGGCGAATCCAATTCAAGAGGTACAAATTCGTTCCAAATTTTGGATTTTTCTCGATTAATGATTCTTCTGTAACTTTTTGATTTTTTTTTTGTGATGATGAATGAAGATTATTGAGAAACAAGTTCTAACGGTAGCGAAAGCTATGGAGGATAAGCTAGACGACGAGATTGCGTCTTTGGAGAAGCTTGACGAAGACGATTTGGAAGTTTTGAGAGAGAGGAGATTGAAGCAGATGAAGAAAATGGCGGAGAAGAAGAAACGTTGGATGAGTCTTGGACATGGTGAATACTCTGAGATTCATTCTGAGAAAGATTTCTTCTCCGTTGTTAAAGCTAGTGAACGCGTTGTTTGTCACTTCTACCGTGAGAATTGGCCTTGTAAAGTAATGCTTCTACATTTATTTGGTTTGATTGTTTTTGGTTTTTGGGTTTTGTGTTTGATCTTTGATTAAGAGATTTAGAAATGTGTGCTTCTTTGTTCATAGTTACTAGACTTGTTTTAGTATTTAAGGTTTAAGTTTGTGGATTTGTGTGCATTGCTTGATTATTCTTCCCTGTGATCTCTGAGTTTCTTTAGAGCTTGTGAGGGATTAGTAAGTAACAATGTTGGTGGTTTTTTGCTGATGGGGTTTGAAAAGTTTGTCACTTTGTTGGGTTGATTGTCTCTGGTTTTCGAAAAGAGATGTTAGGGACATAATTTGTTTCTCTAAATATGGTGCTTCTTCTCTGTAGTCACTAGACCTGTTTTAGCATAAGATTCAAGTTCATACCTTGTGGATTTGTCTGCTGATACTTCCCAGTGATCTTTGAGTTTCTTAGAGCTTGCAAGTGATTAATAACTAACATTCTAACAATGCTGGAGATTTTTGCTGCTGGGATTTAAAAAGTTTGTCACTTGTTGGTTTGATTGTTTCTGGTTTTTGTAATGAGATCTTAGGTACAGAAATTTGTTTCTTCAAAAATGGTGCTTCTTCTCCATAGCCACTTGGCCTGTTTTAGCGTAAGATTTAAGTTTTTATATGCCTTGTGGATTTCTTTATATTGCCTGATTCTTCCCTGTGATCTCTGAGAATCTTTTGAGCTTGCTAGTGATTAATAACTAACAATGCTGGAAATCTTTTGCTGGCTGGGCTTCGAAAAGTTTGTCACTTGTTGGTTTGATTGTTTCTGGTTTTCGTAAAGAGATGTTAGGAACAGAACCAAAAATGGTGCTTCTTCTCCAATCTCCATAGCTAATAGACCGGATTTAGCATAAGATCAAGTTTATATATGCCTTGTGGCGTTGTCAATGCCTGATTTTTCGTGTGATCTTAGAGCTTGGAAGTTATGTAATAATAACTAACAATGCTCTTGATAAGTTATAGCAATGATCTTGATAAGATATGTTAGGCACAGAACCAAAAATGGTTCTTCCTGTGCATAGCCACTAAGCCACTAGACCCCTTTTATCATAAGGTTCAAGTGTATACTTTGTGGATTTTTTTGCATTGTCTGATTCTTACCTGTGATTTCTGAGTTTCTTAGACCTTTGGAAGTGATATAGGAGCAATGCTCTTGTGTATTATTCTCTATGAAGATTATTGCTGTCGTGTTTCATTCGAGTGTCACGATTTTTTGCTGCTGGTTTTAGCCTTTCTTCAAAAAGTTATTACTTTTTGGTTTGATTGTTCTGGTCTTGGTAAGAGATTTTAGGACAGACATGGTGCTTCTTCTCCATAGCCACTAGACCTGTTTTAGCTTAAGGTTAACGGAAATCTCTCTGCATATACCTTGTGGATTTGTTTACATTGCCTGATCTTTCCTGTGATCTCTGAGTTTGTTACAGTCTTGTGTATTACTTGTCTCTATGAAGATGATCGCTGCCATGTTTTTTTTGGGATGATTGATGTTTATAAACGGAAAAATCTTTGTGCAGGTGATGGATAAACACATGAGTATATTGGCAAAGCAACACATTGAGACACGTTTCGTGAAGATCCAAGCTGAGAAAAGTCCATTCTTGGCTGAGAGGCTTAAGATTGTTGTTCTTCCCACCCTTGCCCTCATTAAGAATACTAAAGTGGATGATTATGTGGTATGATAATAATAATGCTTAAACAAGACACATCTTTTTAATCTCATCTTTGGAATATGATTCAATGTTTTTGTTATTGATAGGTTGGGTTCAATGAGCTGGGAGGGAAAGATGATTTCAGCACAGAGGATCTGGAAGAGAGAATAGCCAGAGCGCAAGTGATCCATTACGAGGGAGAATCATCTCTTAAACCAAAGTCTACACCACAAGTCAGAAGGAACGTGAGGCAGAGTGCTCGTTCAGATTCTGACTCCGAATAAATCCTATGTCTTTTCAACAAAGGTTCGTTCGTTTGTATCTTGTTGTTATTTGTAATACTAAGTAGTAATTCATCGTTTTGGTGATCTAAAATGGATGTTGGTCGTTAGATTGAGGATCATGCGGTATCTAAAATACTAAATTGATGTTTTATATGGATCAATTTACGAGTTCAAATGTCAAAACCGCAACCTTTCTTGTTCTCACTTATATGTCCTTATATACTTGGACAAAACTCACACAATTAACCTAGCTAGCAAGTACTAATCTATGTATCTTGAGCACACACACGGTCATACCACATGGAAAGAGAGTAATCCTACGGCAAAACCACGCTTGTCGCCGACTTCTAGCCTTTCCTCTTTAGGTCCATTTCCTTCACTTAACCGCTACAAGCCTACAACCTCTTACAAAGTGTGTTTGTTTACACACTTAAGTACAACCCCTCCATTGCAACCAGAGGCTTTTGAGTTTGTTCTTAAAGAGTGTTTCTCTAAAGGACGAATCACACTCACTAATATAGTAAAGAATCACTAATGGTTGCATTAGATCTCTTAAATTTAGGAAAACAATTATATAGGACACGTGATCATTTTGCTCAACTTGGTTAAACAATAGTAATATTAAACTTATAATCCAATAACAAATTTATTAATATTCTTATCGATGCAAGCTACTACTAGTCTACTACGACTAAATTATTCGACAAGAATCCAAATTAATGATGGCGAAACTTCTTGGTTTCATCGATATTTAAAAATATACAAACATATATCCCGATTTCGATCAAACTGCAATAATGTCACAAATACATACGAATTCCACATACTACTAATAAAATTTTACACCAAAAGATTTTTTAAATATAAGTCATGGATGGGTCATGTATACAATACTTATAAAAGTAAAATTTGTGGACATCATAAAAGATAGCAACTTTGATTTTGTCTACAAATATAAATTGTAGATGCCATATTCCTTGAGAAAATTGAAGCCAAAAACATAAATTAAATAGAAGAAAGAAGAATATGATTCTTTTAACTTTTCAAATGTAGAAAAGTTAAACTATAGAACAGCCTGTCTCTCTTTGTTGTAGTAATAAAAAGATTGAATAGGCAATATTAATTTTATTTATATTTAAATAATCAACGTCTTAATTACATCAAAGTTGGTATGGTATGCATTTTATTTAATTTTGCACGCATTCTCGTGTTTTGTGGTTTCTTCCAATCTCCATCGCGTATGACACGTACTCGAACGGACCAAAATAACAAAATTAATTACTCTAAAAGTCTCTTAATACACTTACTACTTCAAAGTCCAAATACACATAACGTTGACAACGTAAAGAGAAGATAAGCAAAATTCAAATTCTTGTAATCTTCAACAACGGAAATTACTCCATGTAATCTGAAGCTATGTACAACAAACCCATTTTATAAATAAAATAATTCTGAACTCAATCAATCTAATTTATAGCCAAAAAAATCGAATCCTATAATAGGAGTGGACAAAAGAATATACTTACATCTTAATTTTTATTGAGACGTTTTAGATAACACAAAAAATATTTAAACCTCAAAATTTATCTATAAACGATTCGTTTTTAATCTAAAATATTGAAACCGGATCCGTTTTTAAGTGTAATCAGACAAACCTAAATTATATTTTATATTTTATATTTTATAGATAGGAGTATTATTTTTAACGGAAATCGAAATCTCATCAAACTAATGCTTTTTACTTAATCTCAATAATCTTGAAAAACAGATCGTTACAGATACGCAAAGCACTCCTTTCCACTCTCGTCCCGCTTCGCCTCTATTAGGGCAGAGAAGAAGAAGAGAGAGACTCGTAAGCAACAATAATCCATAGCTCTCTCTCTCTCTTCTCTTTACACATCGCTGATTCTTCTCTGATTCTTACCCTCCTCGACGTCGTCTTCAGCTTTGTAGCATCTCGCCGAAGCGTCGTAAGTTCTCTTCTTCTCTAACCTCTTTGCTCTTCAGAGTCTTAGATCGAATCTTCTCCTCATTTACTGCAATCTACGATCAAACACAGTTTCATTATACGCCTCTAATGGTTTCTCCAAGTTCGTGTATGTTGTTGAATTTGAAAGCAATTTCATTTTTTGCAAAAAAATCGTGTCTTTTTTCAGATGGGTCATGTAGATTTTGTGTTTATTTCTTTAGGGTATTTGAAAAGTCATCGTCTTTGAACAAAAGATCGAACCTTTAATGAAATTCTTGGTTTGTTTGTTGTTTTTGATCTTTGAACAGGTTGATTTGAGAGAGACCCAATTTGGATTTAGGACTTGTATTTACAAAAAAATGGGTTACATAGGAGCTCATGGTGTAGCTGCTCTTAAGAAACACAAATACAGTGGTGTTGATCATTCTTATCTTGCCAAATATGTTCTCCAACCTTTTTGGAACCGTTTTGTCAAAATCTTCCCTCTTTGGATGCCGTAAGTATCTTCCTTTACTTTGATCTCCTAGTTTCCTGGTTTGATGAAAGATTGGACTAACGTTTTCCTTTTCCTTTTCATGTGTTCCCTTTGAGATGATCCATGTCCAGACCCAACATGGTATAAGTGAATTCTGTTTCGCATTTAAACTCGAATGTTGTATAACAAAGGCGATAAACTCTTACGGGTTGTGTGTGTTTTGTTTTGTAGATAACACTTATGGGGTTCATGTTTCTTCTCACATCTGCTCTGTTAGGCTATGTGAGTTTGGTTTGATTTTCATAATTCTTTGAAGCTTCTTGTTGCTTTGCTCATATGGATTTTCTTCAAACTTTCTTTAGATATACTCACCTAAGTTGGATTCTCCTCCTCCTCGATGGGTCCATTTCGCACACGGCTTACTTCTATTTTTGTATCAGGTCTGCTCCTTTTTCTTTAGCATCCTAATTTCATCTGTTTGTTAAGGGTCATGTAATCTTTTGTGCTGACATATTTGGAGCACTGACGAGTGCATTGTAGACATTTGATGCGGTTGATGGGAAGCAAGCACGAAGAACAAATTCATCTAGCCCACTAGGAGAGCTTTTTGACCATGGTTGCGATGCTCTTGGTTGTGCGTTAGAAACAATGGCATATGGGAGCACTGCTATGTGTGGAAGAGATACTTTCTGGTTTTGGGTTATTTCAGCTGTTCCATTTTTTGGAGCAACATGGGAACAGTAAGTGTTTTTATTTCAAGGTTAACTCTGTTTTATCGTTGCGAAATTCTAATACTTTGCTTTCTTACTCTTTTGTGTTTAGCTATTTTACCAATACGCTTACTCTTCCGGTAGTCAATGGTCCTACAGAAGGTCTTGCACTTATCTACTGTGGCCATTTCTTCACAGCCATTGTTGGTAAGCTTCAACAATCTCAGAAAATCTCTATCACTAACAATTCTTTTCTAATCTTTTATACTTTTTTTTCAATCTCAAGGTGCCGAGTGGTGGGCTCAGCCGTTGGGGAAGTCGATTCCTTTGTTTAGTTGGGTTCCGTTTTTGAACGGTAAAATTCTACAAACCTTGTGTGTTTTTTGTTGGTTTCCCCTAGTTTGTTTTCTCCTTAGAAGTTTATTTAACGCCATTGGAACTTTTCTCGGTTCTTTTCAGAGATGCAAATGTCCAGAATAATACTATTCACGATGATTTTCTTCGCTGTTATACCAACCCTTGCAATCAAGTGAGTTTTTGACAATTAATCGGTGTTATGGTCTCTTTTCGAGCTGAGAAAATTGGTAACTTTTTCTATGAATTGCTCTGCTCATACGCACACTGCTTTATTCTACAGCACGTCTAATGTTTACAAAGTTGTACAGTCAAGAAAAGGAAGCATGCTTCTAGCATTAGCTATGGTAATAGTCTCCTGAAACCAAATTCTTATTTAATTACTTATATTTCGATTTCTTTTCTTAACTTCCATATGTAATGCCAATATGTTTTCTGTATTCAGCTATATCCCTTAGTCACGTTAATTGCAGGAGTTTTGATTTGGTATGTCTTTTTCTATTTTGTTTTATGACTTGCTCTCATTTACACTTTGGATTTGGTATGTCTTTTTCTATTTTGTTTTATGACTTGCTCTCATTTACACTTTTGATTTGGTATGTCTTTCTCTATTTTGTTCTTTGACTTGCTCTCATGTACACATTGAGACTTATCGGTATTCTTGTCTTAATCAGGGATTACTTGTCTCCAGTTGATCTCATAAGAAACTACCCTCACTTAGTTGTACTGGGAACTGGTCTTGCATTTGGATTCCTTGTGGTAAGCAATTTGGTTTTAAAATCGGAATTCATCGTTAAACATTGAATAGAAAAGCTGAATCATTTAGTCATGGGTTATGATTGCAGGGAAGAATGATTCTAGCTCACTTATGTGACGAACCAAAAGGATTAAAAACAAACATGTGTATGGTAAAAATCCAATAACTTTCTTCTCGCTCGATCAAAATGTTTTCTTCATAATTCTCACTAACCTTCTCTCTTGCACAGTCATTGCTTTACCTTCCCTTTGCACTAGCAAATGCTCTAACCGCTAGACTCAATGACGGGTATGTTTATTTTCTTTCGTTTACCGGTTTTTGCTTTGTTGTTTTCATCAGAATTGATAAATCTCTTCGCAGGGTTCCTCTTGTGGACGAGTTTTGGGTTCTTCTTGGTTATTGTGTATTCACATTGTCACTATATGCGCATTTTGCAACTTCAGTCATTCATGAGATCACAACTGCACTTGGAATCTACTGCTTCAGGTTAAAATAAGATTAAGATACTCTTTCTTCTTACCATTTTATTGTTTATGTTTACGAAAATCTGACAAGTTTAATCTTTTTTTCACCAGGATTACTCGTAAAGAAGCTTGAAGAAGAACAATGTGATTGAAATTTTTATCATTTAAAAAAAAAAAAACAAATCTTAAGGTATGCTGTTTTAGGTTTTAGCTCTCTTCTTCTATGATCTCAAGAACTTCTTGTGTTTATTTATTTGTTGATTTGCTCTTAACATTTTCTTATGTTGTTTCAGGGAGGAAAATTGCAAATCCCAACACGAATCTGAATATTTTGTTACTGGAATTAAAAACGATTGATCGATATGATTTTGGATGTATACTCATTAATGTTTTTTATTTTTGTTTGTTTTTCTTGTTTGGTCAAAATAGGGTAATTCATGTAGACCTTTTTTTGTAACGTTTCTAAGAAAACAATATGGGATTTTTCTAGATTATTTGATGAACTTCGTTATTGTGATTGCATTTTTTTTTGCCATCTGAATTATCATTTGTATTTATTGTATTGCATGTTACTACATTGGGCACAAAAAAAAAAAAGCATGTTATGGCAAAAACTTTATATATTATTAAACTAGTTCGAAAAAGATGATTTCCACTCCGGAATTTGAGAGCTTACATGGGAAAGAGGTTCAATTTCGGACTCGAGCATTATTGTTGCTTCAATACTAGAGATTGAAAATGGTTAAAAATAACAAGTTCCGTGGCATGACATCAACATAATACTTGTGGTTAAAAATAGCAAGATTTCATCTTTTGTGATCACATGGTTTGGTTGACATTAAAGATATGGAATTATGTACCTCTCTTACTTTGCCCTGAACAAAAATAAATATTCAAAGTAGAAGAGATTGAGTATAGACTCTATTTACATGTTTTGATGAGGGTGTAACTGGAAAAATATATGGAACTTCTATTTGGTTACCTGATATGATATACTCCATCCGTTTCGTTTTAGTTGTCGTTTAAGGTTTTCTCACACAAATTAAGAAAAGCATTAAATTTTCTGTTTTACTCTTTATTAATATATTTTATAAAAAAATTCATTGGCCGAAACATTAAAACAGTGGGGATAAAATTGGAATTTTCACCAAACATTTGCATCGAAAACCTAAAACGACAACTATTATGAAACAAAATTTTAACTCTAAAACGACAAGTAAAACGAAACGGAGGGAGTATCATTCTTATAATTGATACGTTTGGGCCTCGAATGGTGTGTAACATGGAAGGCTCAATTAGTGATCATTGATCACCAGCTGATATTGAAATGATCCCTCTGATGCTTCTCAGTTCTCCACTCCAAGCTTTTGGCTTGCGGGAAATGAGAGATGCACCTTCTTTCGAAATGGATTGAACCGATTTAATCTCGATGATCGATCTTCATAACAATGGTTTGCCTTGGCCGCGGGACTTGTGATTTCTTGGATTTTAAACTCCAATATTTTTTTGGCTTTTTAAAATAGCTTTATTTCATGAATCTCAAATTCTTACTGCTCATAACAAAAAAAAAAAAAAAAAAAAAAAAAAAAAAAAACAAATGACACTATTGGATCGCAAACCCATATAAGGTGTGGCTGATTTTCCAACCGGTTTAGAAATACCCAAACCGGACCGACACTGGAGTGCCAAATGTAAAATGTGTAGAAAAGATTAATTAAAATTAAGTAAATGAGAAAAGCAAGATCTTGTCTCTTTAGGAATGAATAATCCAATCATGAAACACAAACAATATAATTAAATGAGCAACGGAACAATACAACACAATGATTATATTTAACACATAGATACGCAGATAAAAATAATCAAATTTGTTTTCTTTATTGTGTATGTAAAAAGAATTGAAGAGAATTTTTTAAAGAGACAAAACATACCTTAGAACATTGACATGTCTCAAATGATGTCTATTGCTCAAGCATGCTGCCTAGGGCGTGCTGACTTTTGCATTATCTCACCTTTTTTACCCACCCATATTCCTCTTCTATTTTAAAAGATGTATCAAAAAAAATTTATATATCTTTATATCTAAAAAATTGGCCAATTTTCTTTTAAGATATATTTAACTGAAACAAAATCTAAATCGAAACTCAAATTAATCATTTGATGTTCATAAAATTTCAGGTTTTTTACCACAAAAATAATCTCGTACTCTGCAAAAAAAATAGTATATATTTGGAGTAAACTTTTCAATCGAAACTAAAAAAAAAAGATATTCTGAGTAAACTTTTCAAACAGTAAACCTCTACGTTTGATTATTTGGATATTATTATGATTTAGTTTATTCTCAGCTGACGCTATGGTTAAGTTTATGAAATATGTTCTGATTGACAGTATGTCCTAAAATAGTAAAATTACTTAATTATTTAATTTATCATGTAAGTCTTATTTTTTTATCAACCAACACTATGTTACTGTTTTATCATGTAATTTTGCTGTTTCTTTATAATTATACAATTGGTAAAAAAGAAACAGCAAAATTATGCTTTTTACAGTTTTAGTTAAAATATATTTAATTGATGATTCTACAATTTTATACTCCCTCCGTTTCAGTTTAGTTGTCGTTTTAGGATTTAAATTTTGTTTCATAATAGTTGTCGTTTTAGGTTTTCAATACAAATGTTTGGTGAAAATTCTAGTTTTATCCCTACAGTTTTAATGTTTTGGCCAATGAAATTTTTTATAAAATATATTAATAAAGAGTAAAATAGAAAATTTAATGCTTTCTTAATTTATGTAAAAAAACCTTAAACGACAACTAAAACGAAACGGAGGGAGTAGAATTTTTAAAATAAGATTGCTCGTTAGGACAAAATGTTGAATGAGAGTTAGGACAAAATGTTGAATGAGAGTTTGTAGACTTGTAGTATTTTTTTTTTTTTCGTCTGAATAATTCATGAAATAGAACCAAAGGAGAAATACAAAGTTGGGATACATGGTGGAATACTATCACCGGCGGGACTCTAACCCCCGGAAAACTAAGCCGGCGGGACTTTAACCCCCAGAAACTAAGCCCCAAACAACGGGGAAACAAACATAAAACTAAAACAGATCTAGAAAAGCTTAGAAATTTTACACAGAAAAGCAATAATTTTTTACCCGAACAATCCGAGATCGCAAAAACTATCAGGTTGACAACAAAAGAACAGACCGCAACCTAAAAAGCTTTCGATCAACTTGCCTCACTTGATGATTAAGAGTCTTCATAAGATAAACCTTGGGATACCATGAGAAGCAGAACGGTGAAACCTCAGCCCAACAAGCAGAGACCGTTGAAATCGCAGTGGCCGGAGATGTCAAGTAAACCACTTGAACCGGTAAGAGGAACCCAAACCTGGGCGGATCTCGCTCTAGATCCGATCGTTGTAGACTTGTAGTATAAATATAATAATTTCAAAACATTAAAAACAATGGACAAAATATTTTGCGTAGTCACGTTAAACATTAAAGGCATGAGTCCATGTCCCATAACACAACAACATTCTCGAAAATTTCTCGTTTCCACTTCAGGTATTTATTTATTTATATTTTGTGAATTGTAGAATCAAAATCATACACGACACATGTATGAAAAAAAAAAAGTGTGTAACCAAAATCAACCTAAAATAGAAAAATGATGTTCTTGGCCTCTTGGGCCATAGCATGCCTCGGGTTATATGTTATGCTTTCAATAGATGATTGGTAATTAATTAAATTTTTACGAAAGTCAAACTTATTTTGCTGGTTTTATATTTTTTATACTATGATTCTAGTATTTATTGTAACACGTAACACAAGGAATGAGTTTGATTTGACTCTAGTGTTCAACTGTTCATATATTTAGACTATATTTTCAGATCGGAAAATACACACTATCACAAGATATATTCATATATTTACCAAGAATTATTATTTTTTTTTTTGGTAAAAGGGTTTTCTATTTACCAAGAATTATTAGCATAGGATTAAAAGTATAGATAATGTTAGCGAAAAATGTTATACAATGAAAACATTAAATTGTAGAACTGAAAAGGACAAAGCATGCACAATTTTAATCATTAAACAGACTATGATAAGAAGAAGAAGAAAAATCAAATAGATCCTACGAAACTAGTCATATCCTGTCTATTTCTCAAAACTCTTGATACAACTTATTTCGTTTATTCATAGATAGAAAAACAAAATCAATCTAACAAAATTAGTATGATTAGATCTTAATAGGTAACCAGTACTGTAGCAAGATAAAGTTTACTGTTTCAATAATTAATAATCACAAAAGTGATAAAATTTAGCAGTACCGATAAAGTTTATCGTATCACTAATTTAACAATTAATTTGGTTAAAAAAATTTTTATATCTATATTAAACAATTTAGAATAAAAACAGGATTTCACGACAAACAGAATAAAAAGGTTAAGATATCAAATCACATACTTAATTGCATGTTTATATATATATATATATATATATAGTATTTTATAAAGTATTTGCATGTCTATTTGCAGGGCCGGCTCAATTAATTTAGAGTCCTCGTATAAAACTTAAAAATTGGCCCTTTTTCATATTAAAAAATTCTTTAAAATTGGTCTTTTCCATACTAAAAATATATATTTGGGTTTTTTTCATACTAAAATTATCTTAAAATCTTAAAAATTATCATTTTTTCTTACACAAAAAAAATATTGGGCCCGGTACATTTGCTCCTCTTGCACCCCCTTAACGCCGGCCCTGTATATTTGTATGTCTTTAATTATGGATGATATAGACTTAATTAAGAAATTAATACAGGCTTCTAAAAGCACAAACGGCAAACGCATGAGTTCATTCGTCTCCACATATATTTCCTCTTTTTATGCATTTTTGTTGTTAATTTTACTGTCGCTCTCTTCTTTTTCTTTCTAAGTTTTTCCCTTTTATAATATTTTTCATTTTTTTTCTATTTGTGAAAGAATGTTTTTGTTTTCATGTATGCTTGGACATTTTAAAACATTGACGTGCATGTTCGTATACAATCAGCCATACAAAATGACTAGAACCGACTTATTATAGAAAATGCCATTCTGTCTAAATCATATAGCTCTACCTTTATCTTAAAATTAAAACAAAACAATATTCTTTGTAGTTTACTAGTAGTAATTTTGTGACCTTTTTTGTCTTATTTATTGATACCGTAAATTGAATCCCGAACATTGAATTCTATAAATACATACTACAAAAAAAAAAACACACACCGTTCAAATTAATCGCTTTGTAAACATGGAAACTTAGTTATTGATTCCTACACAAGAGACTATAACTTAAAAACTACAGTATAATCATAATTCTCTATTCCAAAACTTATACTACTATAAACTTGAGTTTGATATTTAAAATTATGTCCTCGGCTTTACCAAATTCAAAAAACACAAAAAGAAAAAACAATCTTAAGGTGCTTTCTTGATCATACACTTTTTCTTTTACTTTTCTTTCCCTAACTTTTTTTTTACAAATTAATTCATTCGTTTCCTAAAGAATCTCCTCAATCTGATTTTCCTAATTACTTCATAATCCCCATGCTAATTACCTCTCTCGATTCTCTCAATCAAATGCTGATTCTCCCTATCAATTTTCCATATTTTATTTTAACCGTAAAATTTGCCCAAATTTGAGGATATGATGTCAATAATCATGGAAATAATTGACATAATAAACAATAATAAAAGTAATAAAATCAGTCATTTTAAAATGAAATAAATTTTGAACTAAATTGGTGGGGCAAATGAAAAGGAGAAGAAAAATAAAAATAAAAATTAAAAAGAAAAAGAAAACGTAAAGCTAAAGCAAACACTCTCTTGAAGCCTATAGCTAAGCGTCACTACACTTTCTCACTCTTTCAAAAATCCTCTCATCTATCAAAATCCGAGATAAAGAAAAAGTTTTAAAGAAACCAGAATTTAAGATCCGATCGTCATCTCCAATTCTCTGGATCTTCAAAAAACCAAAACAAACAAAAAATCCCAAATTTGGAAACTTTTCTCTGTATTGCTCTGTTTCTTGATTTGTTTTTGGTGAAGTGCTCTGTTTCTTGATTTTGCTTTTGCCAATGAAAGAAAAAGGAAAGAGAACAGCAACGGAACGAAGAAACGACGACGTTTCGTTATATTACAGCACTCCGTCGGAATTCTCTTGCCGGAAACATCCATCTGTTTCCTCCGGCGTCGGAATTTGTCCGTACTGTCTCAACGACAGATTAGTCAACCTCGTCTGCTCCGAATGCGGTGAGCAGCGTCTCTCTTCTTGCTCGTGCTCCGATATCTCTCCTAATCGAACCTCCAACGCTGCCGTAGACGCCGCCGCCGGAGAAAACGTTGTTCGGATCTCTTCTCTCATCGACGAAGAGACAACGAAACAGAGGAAAGAGACAAAACAGAGGAAAACAGAGGAAGTGGTGGTGTTCAAGAGAAGTAGTAGCAGTTGTGTTGAGATTAATAAGAGAACGAAGAATTATAGATTCTCGAGAATCGGTAGGTTTTTCAGGAAGATTAATCTTAAAAAGGAGAGAGATTTTGAGAAGAACAATAGCAACGATTCATGGGTTTTGGATTATAACAATGATGTGAAGAAGCTTGGAGTTTCGAGATCAAGATCGCTTTGTAGTTTTCGAGGTAAAGATTTGTATTGTCTCGGATCGGAAGAAGATGGTTCGTCGTATTCCGGAGCTTTCTCCGCCGCGAGAAGCTCAAGTGTTAATGGCGGATTAGGGTTATGTGAAACAGAGTATCCTCGGAAGAGTAACTTCGAAGGAAGGAAGAGTAACTTCAGCGAGACGACGGAACATCGGAAGAGTAATTTCGAAGGTGGGAGGAAGAGTAATTTCAGTGAGACGACGACGGAGAATCGGAAAAGTAATTTCAGTGAATCGGAGCCGCCGCGAAGAAGTGGTTTCGAGGCGAGGAAGAGTAATTTCAGTGAAACAGAGTATCCTACACGGAGGAGTAATTTTAGTGAAACAGAGTATAATACTCGAAGAGGAAACAATCCGGTGACGGCGGAGAATCATCCACGGAGGAGTAGTAATTACGAAGCAGCGAGGAAAAGTGATTCGGCGGCGATGAATTTTACGAGAAGGGTAATGTCAATGAAAGAGAGTAGTTACTTCACCGGAGGAGAAGAGCCAGGTTTCATTGATCTTAAGTTTGATTCTTCTGGTGGAGGAGGAGATGTAAACGACGGCGTTTTGGAACACGGAGGAGGAGGAGGATCTTGTCGGAAAGATGGAGGAGAGTTGCGTAAGAGTCGAAAGAGTTTCAAAGGATGGAAATGGATATTTGGACATCATCAACATCAACTTCATCATCATAATAGAGATTCATGATGAATTTATGAATTATGAAGGAATATGTGACCATTTTTATTGGATCCAATAATGAAACATGGAGCTGGTTTTGTGTGATCCGATGTCAATCTTAGTTTTTTTTTTTTTTTTTTTTCCATATATCATTTTGTTTTTTCAATATATATATCCAACCATTAGATTCCAAGTTTTGACGAATTTCGGTTCGTTTTCGTTCGGATTATTCGGTTTTTTAGATTTATGGTTTAAGACACATAGTTTTAGTTTTCAAAGCAAAATTAATAATTTGATATGGTTTTTTTTTTTTGTTTTGATTGTATACAATATTTTTCATTTTCGGCTCGGTTTTAGTTCTTTCGTAGAAAAATATTACTATTGTTTTATACAATGTATTAAAGTTTTATTTAGTTTTTTGGATATAATTTTGTGGGTTTTGGATCGGTTCGATTTATGTGGATTGAGTTTCACTATTAGTCTGCCTAATGAGTTGCTATTTAGTTTTGTTCATCAACCTCATGTTTAACAAATTCTGTATTTTTTCCGTCTTGGTTAACAAATGTATTACACAGACTGACTATGTAACTTCACAATTTGATCAATAGAATTTAATTTCGTTGGTAAAAAAAAAGACATCAGGAACCGATTTCTTCCTTCCGATCCCACAACAATCCTCGCGCAACAACTGATCTCATGCAACATGTTTTTTAGTCTTCTGAACGGGCTTTTGGGCTTTCGGGCTTTCTTTATCTCTGCTTCAATTTGATTCACTAGTGGACTTGTTTCAAGAGTTCTCTTGCTACATTTAAATATATTGCATCAATATTTAACAAAAAAAAGATTGATATAGCAGCAAAAGAAAAGTAATAAAACTCTTGTAAGAGAATTGTACATACTAGTGATTAAATCAATTTGCATCCAAATTCACATGAAAGATAGTTTTTGAATTTAACAAAACGAACCACATATATTGATAAAAGCCTAAAAGGCATCCAAATTGACTTACAAAGAACAACAGTTTTTACTAAGGGCTTGATTGGTTCTCCTGCTAGCACCCTCCTAGCGGTTGCTAGCGGTCGGTTGCGGTTGTTAGCGGTTGGTACCAATCATAGAAACCGCTCCGTACCGCTTCTAATCGCTCGAAATCACTGAATTTCAAAAGCTCATTCCCGCAAGCGTTTGCGGCTGTGGACGGTAGCGGTTGGATTTTTTTTAAAAAATCAAACGTTTACTTATAATTATTATAATATATATCAATCATATATATATCTTCATCTTTGTATCACGTTCTCATCAGAAACCCTAATAATATTCTGAATCCCTATTCTCTCAATGTCTTCCACCCAAACTGATGAAAATCAAGAACCAAACGTAAGTATCATATATCCTTTTATTCATTCATCACCTCATGTGTAACTTTTTGAATATTTTTCATGGCATCGTTTTTTTCTTTTCATTACGTATTGCTTTGCTTTTTGATTGAATATATGTTTCGATTTGTTTTCTCGAATAGAGACTCACTTGCTTTTTGATTGAATTCAACGTTATTTACAGTTTGTCCCATTACTTGATGCAATTTTTGGTGTTAAACCAGATGCATAAAGTACTATCTTGTTACAAAATTTCTTTATTTTTGAATAAATATATTGTACTTTATTTATTCAAACAAAAACCAGAATCATGTTCAATTTTTCTAATATTATCATAAAAATATATTGGTCTTTTTATTTTATTTTTTTGTAATATTTTTTATTTATCTTGGTCATTTTTTATTTAACTGCTACCGCACCCGCTGGTTTACCAGTCATAAAATTCCCTCAAACGCACCCATTTTCAAACGCTAAACCAGTCGTTCAAAACGCTTGGTAACATTTGAAATCGCAACCACCCGCTTCCGCAAACTCCCGCAACCGCAACCGTAATCGCTGCGTTTAAACCAGTCAGGCCCTAAGAATTCATTTGTATATCTATCTCTATGGGAGTAAGTAATGGTGATCTAGTGGGCTGCTATTGATAAACTTTTTCGGGCCTTGAAGAAGCCTATCTCCTCTTCATTAATTTTTGGCCTTTCGAAATCCATAATGTTTTGCTACTAAAAAGCACTTCAATAGGAAACATATAATATAGTAATATACTATATGAATTTCTATATCTTTATTTTTAACTCGTTAAGATTAAAATATGAGATATTATGATTATTTAGATATTATGATTATCTCCGCCTTCTCCACCGGAGTTCGACTCCACTAAGTCGCGTTACCCCGCGTAGTAGGGATTGGCTATGGATCGGGCCTTATCGATCCAAAGATGTCAAAAAAAAAAAAAGATATTATGATTATCTCAGGGTCGTTGGTGTTGATGGAGTCGCCATTCTCGCTACAGCCGTGGTTTCTCGTCTTGTCTTTGGTCAAGTGTTTCTTTGTTTTGAGCTTCGAAGGCGAGGTCCTTTTTCTTTCTCTAGATCAGAGGGACAGCGACTCTGTTCTCGGTGGCTCGGTAACCCTCTCGTCTCTCCTGCTTCATCTATATTTTAAGGTCTTTTGTGGCCTCTTTTTCTCTGATTGGGTTGTTAGCCCGGTTGACTTGTTTTTTGCGGAATGTGTCTTGGATTTTGCTGGTGGTTTGTCTCTGCTTTGCCTTTCCATGGTGTCTTTGGGCTGAGTTTTCATTCGGTTTCCTCATCTTACAAATCGCGGAGTGTTCAGTTCACCCACTTGATTGGGTTTCCTCCGGTTTTGTTAGAAGGTTGGTTTGGTCGTCTCCGTTTCGCGGTTCAGCAGGATCCTCTCAGTTTAGTTAGTCGTGTGATCTTGGACTAAAAGAGTTGAGCAAGTGCGTTCACCTTCCTTCGTCAAATTCTCTGTCAGGTTTCTCGATTCGATTTCTGTTTCTCGCCGTTCTCATGTTTGGGCTTAATTGAGACTAAGCTATTAGCGGTTCCACCTTTTTCCATAGATTGTAATTTCTCTCGTTTGGGCTTAAGTTTCTCTCGTTTGGGCTTTGGTATGTTTGTCCGCCTCTTTTGGCCTTAAGTTTTCTGGGGGTTTCTATGTACCCGCCGGCTTTGTCTCCGAAAGGATTTCGTTCCTTGTCGGCTTTGTATAACTCAATCGCATTCTATCAATAAAATCCTTTAGACGAAAAAAAAAAAGAACTTTTTAGTTTTTTTCATAACTTTTTTTTTTTCATGTTTAGGGCTTACTTGATTGGATATTTGCTTTAAGCATTTCCAAAATTTCACAAGGCAAAGCGTATATTTTTTGAAAACGTTTTTTGTTTTTCTTACTTGCCAATTTGTTTCTATATATTTTCATCTTGGTAATAATTGTTTTTTTTTTGTTGTTATTATTTTTTAATCTTCGCCATACTTAGGCATGGTCTTTTTAAAGAAAGGTCAATGCATATTATTGCCAAACGTATAAATGTGTCATCCTATCTTCATGTTCCGATTCACATAGCCTATGCTTTTATGTTTATAAAAAGATACTTAGCGTGTACACAATGGACAGCTTTCCACAAAGAGTTTTGAATTACGTCATATCTTTATAGGATTCACATCTATTCTATCAATTAATATGAACTTTTTCATATTTTATTTCAATTGCTAATCTCCAAAAAGATTTGTAATCACATGATCATTTAAGAAATGTTTTTTTTAAAAATAATTGTATCAAAAATCATTTTTTTTCGTCCATACCCTACCAAAAAGAATATCATGATCGAATGGCTAATTTAATGTAGAGTGTTATTCAAGGAAAATTAGCCACGATTATCGTAATCTCACAAATTCTGTTCACACATTATATTATCTAATATAGTACTCCATATAACTTCATTTATTATATTTGCTTGTTTGATTAGCCTTTTCCCAATGTCTTCCTTATAGAAGCAAAGAACAAAGGAGTTCCTTCAAACCAAATATCCCAAATTACTAAGATATGTTAGGATTTAGTTTGTTCTTTAATATCTTCTATTATCTTTCTATTTCTTATTCGACTCTCTCTTTCAAGATTCCATGGAAGATCTTAACACATTTGCAGCTGATTGCGTCGTTGTATCGTGTTGTTGCAACTGTCTTGTTCTCCAGATGGCGATCTTCATCTTCCTTGGACTTCCTCAAAAGCTTGTCAAGAACACAAGAAAGTGTTACACAAAATGGGGGATAAATCGAGGAATAAAAAGCATGGGGCTTTGTTGTGAATGTCGAGAAAATACCGAGGTTGATTTGGAATGGAGAAAAGAGTCTATGATGAGTATGGAGATGGAAGGTTTTGGGTGTATTGAAGAAGTTGAACAAGCTTTAGAGGAGTTTTCAAAGAATGGTGAGTTTTTGTTTGGAAGCTTCTGGGGACAAGAGAGGGTTCAAAATTCTTCGTCAATGTCAAGTTGTGTTAATGACAACTTTGACCTAAGATTTGTAAGTCGTTATGAGATAATTGAAGAAAATTTCTACTCCTTGGATTATATATTCACAACTTCACATAAATTATGTTGAAATTAATGGACATAAAAATACATATCCACTAGGCTTTTTTTTTTTTTTTTTTTTCTTGTTCCAAATTTAAGAAATCCATATTATACCCGGCCAAAATATTTTTAACAAATGATATGCTTTAAGAAAAATTCATATAATTGACAATTCCATGCTCTTTTAATATCCACCTCATACAAAATTAAATACCATAATGAATTTTGAGTGCCAAATGGTGTTGAAAATTTTAAATTCCAAATATTTAAAGCACAACTGTACAATTTTTTTATAAGTTTAATGTGGACGGTGAAGAATGAACGGTAATTAAATTATTATATGGTAAATAAATGATTAAGAAACCCTACTTCAACTATTTTTATAAATGTTAGAGATATATATTACAACAAAAAATTTAGTAGGTTTAGTTAGATTTACTACTTTTATTGATTTTTCACATCACTAAAAGAATTTTCTCAAATAATACCCTGTGTAAATTAAAACATTAAACTATCAAATAAAACAATTGGTAACGGTCCATTTGAATATTCAAATAAATAATATAATTATAAGACAAGAATGTAGCTGTGTGATGTGCTTCCTACCCAATTTCCAATTTAATGATTTCACCGTCAATCCCTCTTTAATTTGTCTCCACATATTAATATCTTATCAATAATTGAAATAGTACCACCAATCTATATATCTATAGATAATGTAATTAAATTTTTAATTTACTATTTCAAATAATATTTTCAACTTCGTCTCCAAAAACGCGGTTTCTTCGACTTTAAGAAACTATTCATCTCCAAACTTTCAAAAAAAAACCCTAAAATAAAAAAATCTCTTCCTTCTTCTTCCTCCATCAATGGCGTCAACAAAACCAACCGATCAAATCAAACAACTCAAAGACATCTTCGCTCGCTTCGACATGGACAACGACGGAAGCTTAACACAGCTCGAACTCGCCGCTCTCCTCCGTTCTCTCGGAATCAAACCTCGCGGCGATCAAATCTCTCTTCTTCTCAACCAAATCGACCGTAACGGTAACGGATCCATCGAGTTCGACGAGCTCGTCGTCGCGATATTGCCGGATATTAACGAAGAGGTTTTGATTAATCAAGAACAGTTAATGGAGGTTTTCCGTTCGTTTGATCGTGACGGTAACGGTTCAATCACGGCGGCGGAACTTGCTGGGTCAATGGCTAAAATGGGACATCCGTTGACTTACCGTGAATTAACGGAAATGATGAGGGAAGCTGATTCTAACGGTGACGGTGTTATTAGTTTTAATGAGTTTTCTCATATTATGGCTAAATCCGCTGCTGATTTTCTTGGATTAACCGCTTCTTGATTAATTCTATGTGTTGTTTTAATTAATCTTTTTTTTCCTGTCATGCAACTTGTGCAATTAACAATGTGCTAATCTTTCATTAATCTATTTATGATTCGTTCGTGTGACGTAAAAAAATTACTTGGTACTAATAACTAAACGATTTAAAATGTCATATCAAGATTGGCTTTTGACGAACTTTGAAAGTATATATTAGCAAGATTCAACATTTTTAGATTAAACACCTAAATTTAATTTCGCAAAGTTAAAGTAATCTAGTAGTTAAGTAGCTTATATATATATATATATATATATATATATATATATATATATATATATATATATATATATATATATATATATATATATATACTAGATTTTAACCTGCGGTACACCGCGGGATGATTTAATTTTAAAGTTAGTATAAAAATATTTTGTAAATTGTATCACCTTATAACATATTTATTTATATTATAGTTTACAATTGTTATTAAGTAGTGGTATACCACGAGTCCACGAGATAATTATTAATAAACTGAGGATTTAACCCGTATTAAAGCGGTATATAAATATTGATTCAAATTCGTCCGCCATATAAATCATTTCCGAAATATAACCCGTTTCGTAATTTCTTAACCCGTCCTGTGATTTGTATTAAAAAAAATAAGGACTAAATCCGTATTGAAGCGGCGGATTAATGATATTTTAATCTTTTTATTATTGTTGATTCAAAAACCCGTCCCGCCAAACCCATCCCGCCAAAAAACTCATTTATTTTATTAATGTTCTTATTTATGATATGATTCTGAATCATTGTCTAAATATTTTAATCGATGTAGAACGTTGAACACACATTTTCGTCAATTGGATAATATATGTCCGTTTTTAAAATTTCGAATCACAGTATATGCAGAAAAAAAATTGATTTTTTTTTTACTTTATGTATTATATGATGATTCAAAACAGTTAAAAACAAATCAAACAAAGATGATAGGAGAATCATAATTATAAATCTTAATCAAATCTTCTAAAAATCTAAATTATTAAATATGAAATATCCGGTGTATGAGTTGGGTTAAATATAACCCGACCCAACAAATTTTTGGTGAAGGAATTTTTAAAATGGGTCGGATATCCGATATATCCGAAAGCTTTTTTACCCACCCGTCACAAAAAGTGCTGCGATTATACTAGTATAGATATATAGAGGAAACAATACTTAATTTATGACCACAACATTAGTCTCATAAACTATACTATGAGTTTGAAAATCTCTTGAGTCTAATGAATACTCTAAAAGCAGAGCTTACAAAGATCATTCGTCAGATAAAAGTTTTTGTACGTTAATATTTGTTGTTGTTAATAAATTTTCAAAATGTATATGTGCTAAATCATTTGGATTAAAAAGATAAAATTTATATGGGTGAGCCAGTTGCAAATTGCAAATTTGCAATGGTGAAGTATTGAACTATATATGATGATGGTCGAAACAGTTTAAATAATTGAAATCGTTGACAAAAATAATACGAAATAGATAGTTTAGTGATAAAAGTGTTAATCAAACATAACAATGATGGAAAAAGTATCTTAAATTATCATCTCATCGAACCTCACAGGATCCTTCTCTTTCTGTCTTTGTCTGAAGTTTGAAAATTCCAATATTTGCTGTCTTATCTTTTTTGTGTGGTCTAAATACGTTGGACTTGACAGTGGACACATGGGATTTTACTTCCATACAGTATTTTTGAATAAACAGGTAAAAATTCATAAAAATATAATTAGAAAACAATTAAGGCTCTAGATTTAATTTTGTACTTAGCAGGTAAAAGTATACTGTATATATATTATTTTTTCTGAGAATTTGTTTCCGTTATTTTTAATTGTTTTCATTTTAGTATTTTACCATCATCATCAAATGAAATTTATTTTTCTAATAATCGATCAATTCTAAATACAACAAAAATAAAAATACATGAATCTAGCTAAAAAATTTATGTACATTATATTTCCGTGTAAATGATAAAATTACAGATGCCTTCTGTGGCAAGGAATCTCAATGAAAGAAACCCTAATCTCCAAGTTAGAGAGATACGTATATATATTTACAGAGAAACAATTCTATACTCTTTAGATACCGACAAGATCCTTATAGATCTGATCGTGAAACCTCGCGGAGCGCCGTACACTAGCGGCTCTTCTCGCGGTGTATCCGACGGTGGTGGGCCTAATCGACCTCTGCCTCACCATCTCAACGAACTCAGGATCATTAGAGTGACCCTCGTACCGAATCCACTGAATCATTTGATGGTATTTAGGGAAAAACCTCATTTGCACTGACTTGTAGACGAAGTAAGGGATCAAAGCGAAGATCATCACGAATAAAGTTGTGAGCCAGTAGGAAGGAGCCGGAGCTAGGGCTTCGAGGAAGACCATGTAAGCATCGGTAGAGAAACTTGGAGCCATAGCTCCATAGATCATGAGGAAGATGTACCAAAAGGCTATTGATCCCCAAATCACAATGTGTTGGACCCAAGTGAAGTAACTTATTGATAAAGCCATTTGGAGATTGACGACCCACACGACGCAAGTGTACATTGTTCCACCGAGGATTTCCCGGCCTGCGGTTTTGCCATCTGGGTCAAATAGCTGGTGTTTAAGAGATTCCTTGCAAAGGAAGAAAATGGCGAGAGCGCTTATGAATCCATTGAACATCCATCCAATAATCCTTTTCCAGCTGAAGAGAATGTTCTGCACACCTTCTTGGTATAGCAATGGAAACTGCCAGAAACAATATCGGTAAGTAACTCTGTTTTTTAAGGGAATCCTACAGACTTCAAGAATCTCAAACCCTAAACCTACCTTGTAACAGAAGCGAGCTGAGACGTCTTGATCAAAGACTCCTAGGGCAATGACGGGAAGAGAAGAGAAGAAGACGTTGAAAAGAGAAAGAAACCAGTCGTTATATGCAGGTTGTCCAGAGAAGGAAGTATATGCTTCATATAAGAACACTGTGACTCCGAAGGTGATGTTCTTGTAGAAGAAGTAACATATCTGCAAAAGGCGAAAAACCCGGGTAAGAAAAAGATTGAGATGAATGATGAAATCAAAGACATGTTTTTGTGAGAAAAGTTTCAGTCATTTTACCATGGATGCGATTCTGCTGTAACACCAATGGCCATGGACTAACAATAAACGCTCTAGATATCGGAATTGAGCAATGGCGATATCGCTAGACATCACTGCTTGCATTCCTTCAACACCGCTTATTCCTACACCAATGTCTGCTTCTTGAAGCATCCCTACATCATTCGCTCCATCGCCAATTGCTAAAGTTGTTTTTCCAGTTCCAGACTTAACTAGTCGCGTAACCTAGAAACCCAAAAATAAACCTCTTTTGTTAGAATCAAAACATTAGAAACTGGAAACAAAACACAAAAATATCATCAAGATTTAAAGATTGTACCAATGCTTTCTGTTTAGGTGATGATCTACAGCAAATCACAGAGGCACAACCAGTGGCAAGATCAAGAAACGTTTTCTTGATTTCGTCCTCGAGGGCGTAGGTTAGCGATTTCCCATCAATGATCAAAGCAAATGCTTCAGAGCTCGCGCCTGATGCAGCGAGTAAGGCCTTTCCTTCTTGTAGTTGCATCACAACGCTTTCCCTTGACGCCAGTTCGATTTCATCTTTGCCTCCAGATTTCTCTAGAGATTTGATATGAGGTGTCTCAAGATTGATGATGATCTGCTTCATCTCTTGTCTTAGTAAACTAGAAGCAAATCTGCAAGAGAAATTTTTGAAGTCAGTAACCAAGAAAACACACACACAAAAACAAGAACATTAATGTTTTCAGACATAAGAAAAAGATTCAAGATTCAATACCCAATATTGATAGCTGTTTCCATTTTGTCTCCAGTTAGAACCCAAATCTTAATTCCAGCTTGAGCAAGTTTGTCAATACATTCCGGGACCTGAAACACCGATCAATTAAAAACCGTTACTTCCAAAAAACCTTAAACTGTCAAAACACTTGTAGCTTTATATAGTCTTTCATTAAAGTCATACCCCATTCTGAAGTTTGTCCTCAACAGCAGTAGCACCAAGGAGAATGAGATCGCGTTCCATCCTATCCGTGATTTCGTCTATTAAAGCTTCACGATCCTCGCTCACTGAAGCCTTAGCTTCATTGAAATTCTTGTTGAACTCTATGTACTCATTCTCATCAACCTCACGGTATGCAAGTATGAGAGTCCTTAGACCTGCATCTGCATATTGGTTTACATGTTCTTGGGTTTTTGCCTCGAATTGACGACCGTTCTTTGCAAGTCTTTCAAACATCACACTAAAAAGAGCACACAAAACTCAAAGTTAGATTTTATAATGAACCAAAAGGTCTAAGAAAATGTGTTTTAATGTCTCATTTCGCTTACTTATCAGCTCCTTTAGACAACAGCAAGAGCTTCCCATCATCGTCTCTTACAATAACCGACATTCTCTTCCTTGTGCTATTGAACTCAAGAACGTTTAGTAACTTATAAACCCTGCAAGAACAGAGGACGTTTTGAGCTCCGGGAATCACAGAGACTACATCAGATTGAAAGAAGGCTAAAAAACGAACCTTTCGACTTTTTCTCCTGATACAAGGTCCAATTCTCGAAAAGAGATCCCATTTTGTGTCCGGTTAAAGAACTCGAAACCGAACTCTCGAGCTGCAACGACAAACGCAGCTTCATCGGGAGACTCAGCTTCATAAGAAACATTCCCGGACTCTTCATCGGTCTCAGGTATTGCCGTATGACACACAGCAAGCAATCTGAAAAACTTCTGCAACACGGCAGCCTCAGGCTGCCTCACCCAATTCCCATTCATAATCCTTTCATCCTCAAAGTTAAACCCTTTAACCTTAGGAGCAGACCGATCCACAACAACATCCAAATCTTCGTTAACCAAAGGCGAACCACCGCTTCTCACAGCCATAGCTCTCTCAACCTCAGTTATACCGCGTCCATAAGCTGTACCCGCGATAGAACATTTGATAAACTCCATTGAATTGCAAGTCAAAGTCCCGGTTTTATCGGAAAGAATCGTATCAACCATACCGAGCTCTTCATTCAAATTCGAAGTCCTTG